ATGATTCAACGGTTATTTTAACTCCGATTTTGATGATTTTTTACCGCTACACTCCTTTACCCTATATGAATACAATGACTGAATTTGATCTTCAATTTAAAATATTTACACTAGTGGATACCACAAAATCTTATGTTATATTTAACAAAAGTATAAATAAACTCTTAATTGTTAGTGAATATATTGTTTTGATGGCATACGCATTCTATGAAACTAGTTTGAACGATCCAACCGTCAAACTTGTTTGTTTATACTTCGAGATCATATACGCTAAAAATCGGAAGAAATAAACATTCAGAGATCAAGTAATTGGACAAAACTTTTCGACGGTTATAAATGAAAAATCACGATTTAACGGTTATTTTAACTCCGATTTTGATGATTTTTTTATAGCTACACTCTTTGACCCTATATGAATACAATGAACTAATTCGATCGTCAATTTAAAAAATATATTTTCTAATAAAAACCCAATCCAAAAAACAATAATATATTTTTCTAACAAATATTTTAAAAAATATTTTATTTATTTTTATAAGGACTTTGCGAGACGAAGTTAATTGTTTCGTCGCGCAAAGTAGCTTTGCGTGACGAATTGTTTTTCGTCGCGCAAAGTCGCTTTGCGCGACGAACTGTTTTTCGTCGCGCAAAGTTACTTAGAGCGACGAATTTTTTTCGTCGCGCAAAGTTACTTTGAGCGACGAATTTTTTTTCGTCGCGCAAAATTTGGTCGCGCAAGACTTTGAGCGACGACGTATTGTCGTCGCGCAAAAGTTGGTCGCGCAAAGTCGCTTTGAGCGACGAAAAAAAATTCGTCGCGCAAAAGTTGGTCGCGCAAGGTTTTTAGCGACGGAGTTTTGAGTTTCGTCGCGCAAAGTGTCTTTGCGCGACGAAAAATTATTCGTCGCGCAAAATTTGGTCGCGCAAGGGTTGTTTTGTAGTAGTGCTAGCCTTCGTTTCCCATAAATACAACTAGAAGAATTGGAGGATGAGAGAGAGCTCAAGAGAAGATTGTGAGCTTGTGTCTGTTGAAGCTGCATCAATGATCTATTTATAGGAATGGGAGCTGCTCTTATTGTAGTGCGATTGCAACATGCTTGATTAAACCATTATCCCATCATGCTTTTTATCTTGCTGGAGCTATCTCTCCTTTGGTGGCCAACCACCTCTCTCTTTGCATTCCTTTGGCATGTGCAAACCTCCAAAAGGTTGCCTTTCATCATCTTGCTGCCAACCCACGTGAATGCCCATGATATGTTTATTGTGCATAGTCCCAAGTTGATTATGCCATCCTTGTAACAACAACACCTCACATACCCACGTATCAAAGCAATTAGTCCAAAATTAAACAAATAAGATACTAACAAATATCATTTAAGGGATATCACATGTAATAATTATGTGCTCATCACTTTGCTTTTAGACTATTCCGTTTGGTTTATGAGAAAATAGAATAGAAAGTGAAGTATGAAGCGGGTTTGTGTGGCGTGAAGGTTGTGTGTTGCTTTGGTCTCTAGAGAGGGGGGTGTTTTGTTTTGCCACTGGACTGTCATTTAATTTAAAATATCACTAAATTATGATAGAACTGTGGTGGACTTTGTATTTCCTTCATGTTTACATGTATTTTGTATCTGGCTTTTACATCTGAATTTGGATATGAAAGTAATCATGGCAGCAAGTGCTTTGTATTTGGAATGATATTTGTTTTACTTGTGATAAGTTTACACTCAAGAAATGACAAATTATGTGTAAATCGCTTGGAAGTTTAAAAAGAAAATGGTAAATACCTTTGGATCTAACATGAAGCGTATGGCATCGACCAACTTTTCAAGCGAGAATTCATCAGCTGGAACGGGTGCAGGACCTACTCCTCTGGCATGCACCCTCTCCCCCCAAAATGGCTGGTCCCCAAAGAATGGTACAATTGTGGTTGGACACTAAAAAGAACACAGAATATGAGCCATGAGTAACTGAATCATTTACAAATGTAAGACTCCCCAAGAATATAGCATTATCAGTTACCGCAGCTTTCAGACCAGCTGCAGTTGTGCCAACACCCCCATGATGCACCTAAGAATTTTTTCATATCCAGTGAGAAACCGGGAGTAGCCTAGTTATCCAAGGGGAACAAAACAACAAAACGACAAAAAGGTGCATCAAGTTCATGTGACGTTCTGAACACCAGTGCAGTGAAATCCCAACCAAATTAAAATAATTAAAAGCATTGAAATTTACCACAGCAGAGCATCGTTGGAATAGCCAATCATGGGGGCAATTGTCCACTAAATACACAGAATCACTTGGTTCTGCCACTGAGAAGAGAAATATATGAAGGCTTTCAGATGTAAAGAAGCATAAGAATACAATGTGCTTGAAAGTAATCTTTTTTAAGATCCAAGGCCACCCCAGCCTCGGTTGATGACGCCTCTCTGTCCAGTTATTTCCAGAGCTTGAAGAATAATATTGGTCATTTTCTCTGGTTCTTCAAGAGGCTAATACAATACACATAAAAAAAAATTTAGCAAGCAAGACAATTTACCATTTCAATCAAATGCACAATCAAGTAACCTTAACTATGCAATTCAGAGGTATACTCTGCATGTATTAGACATGCCTCAGTCAAATTAGATATTGAACAACTGAAGAACCAAAGGGTCGATTTGCCATCTGTCATGAATAGACCTCCACGGCCTGTTCGTTGGGGACCAACATGAAGGTGGTCACTCTTTGGAGATTGTGGCTTTGTTGATTGTTTTAATTGGGAAGGAACAAGTAATTTTTTAGGGTAAGGACAAACAGAGCTACTCTGGGATAGAACCGGGAAAAGAATATTAAACATGAATAGAGAAAGCTGCAACAAACTCACAAGGCTATCAAATCCAATATAGACAGGCTGTTCTCCAGCTTCAAGCCACTCCGCAAGTGAATCTGGGGCTTCATAATTTGAAGCAAGGTCAAGAAAACAAAAAAGACAACATCAACCTTCGGTCCCCAATCTGCCAAACAAGTAAAACGTAGAGCATATCAGCAAATAATCAGCATACTGTATTCTCATTTGGTCAAGCTGGTCTATTTCTACCACATCAAATCATATTCCTGAGGCTTCTGCAACATTATCAGCGTGGGAGCAAAAATTAAGGCCCAAGTAACAAGCCACTTCCCATGAACCCTAAATTTAGGGAGTGGAGGGAATCAAATAACATGATATCCACTACCATTGAGCATGGAAATAGGTTACTATTAAGCAGAGTAGTTAAGAATACGATCATCCGAAATTATACTAGCAATGTGAGTGGCAATTGGGAAATGTGTGGACTTATTGGGTAGTTTTTGAAGTTCCTTAAGGTGTCAGGTAAAGGATTATAAGGACCATGGGGTATTTTTGAAGTACGGCTATATTTTTCTAATTAATTCGAATATTTTAAAAGTACGGCCGCGCGGCTATAACTTTTAAATATATTCGCCTCCACCACGAAGCTTGCACTCGCAGTGGACTACTTCTCTCGCAGTCGCTGCTTCGTCCTCCGGGTTTCGGCGCCGAAAAAGAACCCACCCGCCTAGGCGCCCCCCTCGCTCCTTCCTAGCCGCCCTAGGGACCGCCTAGCCGCCTATCACCCGCCAGCAACCGCTACAGCCTAGCGCACTCCTAGCCCCCGCCTAGCCTCCCTATCGCCCGCCTAGGCCGACTTTCAACCCACTGCGTTGAACTGAAAGGCTGAAAACCGATTGAAAAAATTTTAGCTTGCAAATTTGGACCTTGTATGGGAAGCCGAAGCACTGAAGCCCATCCCTGTCCCATCGAGGAATAGATCATTTGACTCTTAATTCATCCAATTCCATTCCTCGCCCTGTTTCGCGCCCCTTATATTCTTCTCTCTTTGCACTGACGACATGGTCAGAAGAAAAAAATACAAAATTTGCTGACTTGGTGTCTGTCCTCTGTGGAGGAATTATGAAGTTGTCCTATCATTGAGTTTCTATGGCCTTGCCAATACAAGTTCTGCTGAACTAGGAATGCGTTTATGCTACTGTGAATTCATATTGATTCTGAAGTTTAAAATTTCTTTTAATGGCTGCGTTTAGCCTTCTCTTGCTTTGCTTAGTTGTTACTATCAAATGGCATTTATTACTTGTACCTCACTGCCGTGTTTTATGTGGAGATGTTAGTACAAATTTGTTTCGCATTCCTCGTAATAGTGCCCCAAAAAAAAAAAAAAAAAAAAAAAAAAAAAAAAAAAAAAAAAAAAAAAAAAAAAAAAAAAAAAAAAAAAAAAAAAAAAAAAAAAAAAAAAAAAAAAAAAAAAAAAAAAAAAAAAAAAAAAAAAAAAAAAAAAAAAAAAAAAAAAAAAAAAAAAAAAAAAAAAAAAAAAAAAAAAAAAAAAAAAAAAAAAAAAAAAAAAAAAAAAAAAAAAAAAAAAAAAAAAAAAAAAAAAAAAAAAAAAAAAAAAAAAAAAAAAAAAAAAAAAAAAAAAAAAAAAAAAAAAAAAAAAAAAAAAAAAAAAAAAAAAAAAAAAAAAAAAAAAAAAAAAAAAAAAAAAAAAAAAAAAAAAAAAAAAAAAAAAAAAAAAAAAAAAAAAAAAAAAAAAAAAAACTACAACTTTCAACTTAAGCAGCCTGGATATAGAATAAATATATAAATATTTGCATGCAGCTAGTTATATTAAGCCAAAGGTCATTTATATTTATTTGCAAGTCCAAATCCATGGAGGGGAAATTTGAAAAAGAAAACTGTCAACTGCCGGTTCGTTGTAGCTGGAGATGGAATTTGAAATCGACTCTAAACAAATGCACACCTTTTCTTGATTGGGTCTTCTACTGCACCAGAATTTAATAAGAATCTAGTGTATTGTCTTTCAAGTTTCTTCCCAACTCAAACTGAGAAGAGTGGGCACCAAAAACTTCTAACTGCCAAATCCTTAGCTAGGTGCGGGCATGGGTTGGGTTAAGGGTCAACCCATCATACAATTTCAGGTTACAATATTTTAAAACCTGAAAGGCCAATGAAATCAAGTTGGGTTGGCAATGTTTTTTTTCCCCTTCCTTTTAGTTCAATTCCATTCCAGTTGTTCTTATCAGATGCTGGATATGATTCCTTGTAATTGTATTGAATAAATCAAACTCATTGAATCAGTTGCTTGCAGTTCTCACGTCTTGAAGATGCCAGAAATGCACTGAGTTTGAATGGAAAATTGGAGATTGCAGGTCGACTAATTAAGGTAATGGCACATTACTATATTGTTATTATACTTCTTCCTCCAGAAATATGCTTGCATTGTGTACTCTTTCCAAGCTCATCAATTTGGTTGTGTGTGTTACTGGTATGTTAGTACCTCTGGTTAATTTGGCGATGCTTTTTTGACATGGCATGTATTTATTTGATTGTTGGAATTTTTTGTTGGTGACTCTGTTCAGCCTTTCATTGTCCAAATGTATTATACAGTGTGATCACTGTAAGGTAGCGAAACCCAGCAGGCCTACTGTGCAATAGTGCATGAGCTGGGGTTTTGTTAATGCGCACATTGAGTAGCACGTAGTTGATGTGGTGAACTTCTCATAATGTGCAGATTGTTGTAGCACGTAATTTTACCGATAACTACAAGCACTAGTTGATGATACTATTAGAATCATGGTCTTAAATAGTTATTGTGGTATTTCCTGAATAGAAGCCTCTTTTGCTTTTTTGTTTTGAAATATTTGAATGTGTTGTGGCAATGTGTCACTGCTATCATTCTGAGATTTATAGGGTGGATCAGAGTTGCCACTTAGAATGATGCTTTAGATTCAGGTTTTCAGAAGTCGTTGCGTTGTTACATAATTGTGCATCCTTATGGTTTCCCAAACGGATGATTTTGCTTAAAACCATATATTAAGTAATTTGGGAGTTCATCTACCTGAGTCCTCATTTTTCTATTTAGGTGTCAGCTGTTACAGACCAAGCTGGAATGCAAGATCTTGGAGCAAATGCTGGTGATTTTGATGACGATGAAGGTGGTGGCTTGGTTAGTAAGATCTTTCCTTTTATGTTTTTATTTTCTATTAACACAAAGAATTTGTGGGCTGATATGATTGCTAAGAACTGTTTGCTCTGGCTCAGTAATTTCTGGGAATAATTGTTGAATGTATGGAAGCTGCTGCTGCTCCATTGCTTTTAAGCTTTTTTGCTGCTTGATACTTATGATATCTATAGTTGGTTCGATTGGCTTAATATCTTTTGTGTTTATTGTTCTCTTATTTATTTGAGTAGATATATATTTCTTACTTCTTAAATGATTAGAAAAATAAGGTCAAAAAAATAAGTTGAACTACCATCTTACTTCTTAAATTATACATTTAAAATATATTATATGTAAAGAGTACAGCCAAACGGCTATACGTTTTTAAATATATAATATTTAAATAGTATAGCCGTTCGGCTATACTATTTATTAGAAATAAAAAGGCCAAAAATGGCTATACGAGCTTTACATTTCCCTCGCTGCCTGGCTCGCTTCACTGAGTCACTTCCCATCAAAAAGTCTTCAAGTTCAAGGCCAAAAAAGATGTGGCCAATTCCTCATTTGAACTCTCATGGCGTCTCCCAAGAAATCAAAGAAAAGCAAGAAAGATAGGAAATTGAAGAAAAACTTAAGCTTGGTTCCAGTCGAGCCCAAAGCCGCAGACTCTGACTGGTGGGATAGTTTCTTCAACCCAAGGTTTTTCTTTTCACTAAGCTCAGTCTCCAATTATTCTGCTTCCTGCTTTTTAGTGGAATGCATTCAGATTACTTGTAGTTTTAACCAGATTATCTTTATATTTTGTTTATTTTGGAAAATCTATGATGCACAGACATCTAGAACAGGTGGTGGATTTTGTTCTGTAATGTTAAATTCGGTAATGATGTTCATAATCAGAGCTCAAAACCTATAAACTGTGCTTTTGTTCAGTTAGGCTGTCGGAAAAATCGGCCTAGGCGCTAGGCGGCCGCCTAGGCGGGTCTAGGCGGGTCCTTTTTTTTTTTTTTTTTACATTTTTTTTCTTTCTGACTTTAGATCAATCATGAAATCGTTTCAATTTCTGATGGCCGCTATACGAAAACTGGGTTTTGATTATGTATTTTGCATCCTGAAAAGAGAAAGATGTGTAAGATGTGGTTGAAAAGTTATTACTAGAGGGAGCAATAGAGATTTTAGTCTGTAATTGTTAGGAATCTGGTTTGGCCTAAGTTGGATTAGTTGGAAATCCTGACTGAATCAGAATTGGGGAATATACAGACACAGAAAACCATAGTCGTGCTTTGCTTCTTGTCATAGATAATAGCAACTAAAGGTAGATAATAGCAAGTACAGGGACTAAGGTTTTGTTGAGTTGTTCTTGAGGTGGTTGTACTATCTTTTTGTTTTCTGATCATGTTTATGTTCTAGTGAGCCAGAACTAAAGATTTGGGGCTTGAGATAGATAAGTGGCTTATCTATGGGACTGGGAAAGAGACATCCCATTTTGTTTGAGAAGGTTTGAATCAAACATTTGATTTTTATGATGATTGCACAAATTTTCATCTACAAATTGATTGAATAACTAGTGTAGTGCTTCAAGTTACCAGTCGCTTCTAACCAAGGTGCTTTCTAATAGTGCAACCATACTCATTAAACATAGAGACCTCTGTGTGTCATCCGTTTGATTCTAATAATTTCCAAGTGTTAAGTTGGTTAACTGGCCTAGTGTTTGAGCCATAAATTACTGAAACAGTCCCATGATGAAAGAATTGATTGCGTTCTCATGATTATTTGTGATCATAGAAACTGCTTCCCAGAAGTCCTTTAATCTTCTCTGATGTATTTTGTTTCATTTGTAGGCACACAGGTTGGAGTGGACTTGATGAAGGCATCATTGTAGTTGGGACTTGCATGATTTAAAAGCTACAATGGCTGGTTGCATGTCAACCCCATCCAAAACAATTAAATCACAGAAAAAACACTGTCAGCGGGTCATCAAAAACGCCATAGAAAGGCAACTGCTCCGCTTCAGATGATACCAAGAAAAAGAAATACCAGTTTTAAGAAAATAAATAGTGATGCAGGAGCTCGCGTGAGTGACTATGTTGTCAGTGAGTTTGTTCATGTGGACTTTGAGAATGGTGCAACAACTACTCACAGAAGATCTAAGGTTTCTAATTCAACATTCCATCTCACCCAGCTGCAATGGCACCACAGTCAATATGATTCGAACGGTGTGTGCTTTCTTTCATCAGATTTCAACTATCTTTCAATTTCAACCAATAGTGCTGGCAAGAAAATTCATAGCTCTTGAATCTCATATTTTGAATGTTATTCATTTGCAGTAATTTGCCAAGAGGAAGCTTGGTTTGACTCAGTGAGTATTCTGGAGTCTGACTCGGATGATGACTTTATCAGTATGCGTGGAGGTATTGGCCATCAGCCTGTAACTACATATTACAGAATGAAAGCCTTGTGGTCTTGTTTGATTGCAAAACGTCATTAATACTGAAGTAATTTTCCTTGAGCTACTTATTGGAAAAGGATTTTGTTTTGTTTTCTTAATTTTCTTCTCGTATTCTACAGATGGTTTTCCATTAGCAAGCATTACAGTTGGGAATATCTCAAGTGGCCAAGTACTTCAGTACGAAAGTTCTGCTCACTTTGTTGATAAAGGGTGTAAGTATGAAGAATACCAAAGCTATATGAAAATAGATGGAGGTAAATCAGATAAAATCACTGGCAAAGATGAGTGCTGGGAATCAAATCGGTTTTCGCTTATTAGTACCCAGGGCTATGAGTTTTCTCGCTTAGGGAAGGCTGATGAAGTTTTCAGTAAGAGGAAGAATATATTAGATCACTCTTATGGAAGCTTTAAAGGACTTATGGAGGATGGACGTGATTCTAATGAAAAAATTCAAGACAATGCCTGAAATCCGGCTTATCTCGATTGGTACCTTCTGTAAGGAAATAAATGGAGTAAAGCTTTAAGTTCTAGATAGAAAAAAAAGAAGAGAGTATTGAAGCTTTAATAAATGGATCATCACCTCAGTCCAATTTCCCATTGCTGAGGGAATGTATAAACAGACATGGAGATTACCTCTGATTCTTCTGTTTCTAGTTTATGAGATGTGGCGTCTGCAAGCACATGCTTCTCAAGTGCTGTTGTACACTCCAAAGAGATGACAGATAGAATATAGGCAGCCAACTGATCTTGAAGCCTTGATAAGCGAAAATCGAGGGGAAAAGATGCCAGTATAGCCGAGCGAAAATCGAGGTTTTTCTTTCTAATGTTTTAACCTTTGATATTGGAAAGATTGCTCATTCAAGGTTGTGTTTTTTGCTAGCGGATTATTGAAGTTGAGCTTGATAATTCAAAATAACATAGCATCCATGAATTTTGTAATCATTTTACTGGTTTCGGCACTTATCCCTCCCTTTTGCTTTAACTAGTAAGATATGCATTCTCTCAAGGCATTGCAGACATCAGCACTGCAAAGCCGAGGGTGATAGTTTGGCATAGAAAGAGTGTCTGCACTGCATAATTTTTTTGTTGACCTGAGTGAAGGTGATTGACGTATTGTTTTTATTTTTTTGCTAGTTTCAACATATTCCAAGTAGATATTAATCGTCCATTGTATAATATTTTAATATAATTTTTATAACATATATTATTCTTATTCAATAATATGTGAGAATTATTTGTATAATACGTGAATTTTGTGTCTTACTGAAAATTTTGTAAAAAATGTGTGTAAAACATTAGAAAATACGTACATACATGTACAATACGACTATTATACGTTTACTTTTTGAAAAACGTGACGTATATAGGACAAAAATATATTATTGAAAAATACACACGTACATATATATATATATATAAGAATATAGTCACTCGTCTATACTATTTATTACAGTGAATTTATAAAAAAAAAATCAGTAAAGCGGCCGGCAATACTATTTTCTAAAGATAAGAAAATAATCGAGTATAGCCGCTCTGCTATACTATTCACTGGAAAAAAAACAGAGCAGCCACACGGCTGCCGGGCGTCCACGTGTAAACTTAAATTTTTTTTAAAAACTGAGTATAGCGGTTGGCTATACTATTTTTAAATATAAAAAAAGAGCCAGTACCTTTTTTTTTAAAGTAAAAACACGGAGTATAGCCGTGTAGCTGTACTATTTTTAACGCCACCAGCGATTAGACATCACATGTAAAAATAAGTATAGCCGCCCTGCCATGCTAATTAAAAAAAATCGTAGGATAGCCATACGATTTAAGAAACCAAAATAAGAAAAAAAACAGACCTCCTAGTTGATTCCAACAGGATGGAAGAAATAAAGTCCAAACTTGAAGAAGCCTTTGGATTGCCCAATTGTTGTGGAGCCATAGATGGTACAAACATCATTATGACCCTTCCTACCGTTCAAACATCAGACGATTGGTGTGACCTGGAGGACAATTGTTGACCATGCGATGAGGTTTCTTGGCATTGTAACTGGTTGGCCTGGGGGCATGACGGTGTTAGAATTCTATGGTTGTTTTGTATTTTAGGTTATGAAGGTTTTGTAATCTGAAGATTTTGCAAGAGAAGGAGAAGAAAAGAATGAGAGGAAACTGTTCTATTGCATTTTCACAAACAGTTGGCTTACATAGTGTGCTCGGTAGCTGAGAGAGAGAAGTGATTCTTCTCTAACCAAATTACAGCTGCCACCCTATGAGGTGCTTACACTTGTCATACCAAATCTAAGCTAGAGAATCCATCTGGACTATGATCCAATGGTTCTAATTACATCACATCTAAAATAGACGTAAAAAATGAGGAATAATGCTTGGTGACTTCGACTATAAGAAAGCAGCTGAATGATTACATTTCAATACTCCCTTCTAATCCTTTAGCTGATTTCACACCAAGTAGTCTTCTTAAACTAACAAAACGATCCTTAGGCAGAGCCTTGGTGAAAATGTCTGCTATTTGATCTTCTGTCTTGCAGTAGATTAGCTCAATTTCTTTTGCTTGAATGGCTTCCCTTATGAAATGAAATTTCCAACTGATATGCCTTGTTTTCTGGTGATGAACTGGGTTCCTTGCCATTGCAATAGCAGAAGTGTTGTCACATAGGATTGGTGTTCCTTCTACTTGTTCTTCACCGAAATCCTTAAGCACAAATCTTAGCCACTTGGCTTGTGAAGTTGCTTCTGCAGCACTCACGTATTCAGCTTCTGCTGTGGACAAAGCAACTGGTGGTTTGTTGGTTGGGGATGGTAGAGCAAAAGGAGCCTGTAAATACAATTTTGTGTACTAAAACAAAACTGCATTTTCAGCTAGTTGACACACTAACAACTTGGGGCTTAGAGACTGAATCTTTTTGCAGTCATTACAAGAGAATCTGTGGGTATTCTTTTCTTTTCTTTCTGTTATAGGGTACTCAAGTCAGCCTCATTACAGAGAGAAACTGCTCCAACTTACAAATGTGGAGGAGAGGCCGTGGGATGTGTACTGAAATGGGAATAGCCAAAACACCTACTGATGGAAAATAAGCCACTTCTAGCAGGCAATGACTCGGGTTTATCCTCAGATTTACTGTGAGGAAAGTGCCTATGAAAGGCATTCAATGCTCCTATCAACCCATCTTCGTCATCTATGGCCTTGGCAATTTCAACAGCACGCTCTTTAACCTTTCTACCGAAAAATAGTTATGTCTTTGTTAATTTAATATATTCATGTCCATACTAGGGATTGAAATAACAAAAAATAACCCCTAGAGTTATGACTAGTATTTGCATGTTAAAATTGATCGAAAAACAATGGCAACTTCAATCAAATCAGTGCGCATGCATGTGTGATAATTTTACGCTCAATATGTAAGTGATAGAGCAAAAAGCCAATAACTTACCGGTAAGTTATAGCGTGAAAAGCCAATATTTAACCATCATGTAAGTGATGGAGTGAAAAGCCTATAACTTACCGGTAAGTTATGGCGTGAAAAGCCAATATTTAATCGTCAGGTAAATGATTGAGCGAAAAGCCTATAACTTACCGGTAAGTTATTGCGTGAAAAGCCGATATTTAATCGACATGTAAATGATGCAGTGAAAAGACTACAACTTACCGGTAAGTTATCGAGTGAAAAGCCAATACTTTACCAAACATCAAAATTAAGACAATCTGGTGCGCCTCCACTAACGAGCACGCAGTATCGAAGAAACTCTGGCGTATGCATCCCAACTAGGATTTCAAACTTAAAATAATAATTAAAAGATAAAGCTTGAAAAAACCAAGCTATAACAATACAAATAAAATGACAGGACTCGCCCCGAATTCCTCGGAATCCGTGACGGATCCTGTGGTATTTTCGACATCCAACCGATACCGGGCCCACTTACTGATTTCAAATGTCCTCTTCCCCTAAAACAAAGGAAAAGAGGGCCGAGACTTCTACCGAAATTTCGGCAGAGTCTCCCTTGAAAAACGGACTTAACCAAATTTTTCAACCTGTCAAAAACACAGTTTAAAATGTCCACACTTCAGCATGCACAGTCTACCCTCCAGGCATAGTCATAAGTAGTTGTAAGGACTCAATCCACAATCATTCATCAATCTAAAATAGGTTTCAGCCCCGACACAATCACAAACACATTATAACCACATCCCTTCAGGCTACCGACAAATTCAAAACCGAACTTAACAAATCTAATAAATAGGATTCGATCCCAATGACCAAATTAGAGTCCAAAAATATATTTTGTCTCGCGGTTGCACCTGGGTGAGACCCGGGTTTTTGAAATTGGGTGGGTCAAGTAGAGGAGGAGAGGAAAAGTTTGCAAGTCGTTTCGTCGAAAACGGTGGCCGGACGAAGCCGGATTCAGCGTCGGAAAATGTTGTTGTGCGACGGGGAGAGAGAGAGAGAGAGAGAGAGAGAGAGAGAGAGAGAGTCGTGGTAGGAGAAAGAGAGAGAAAAAGAAGCTGACCTGGGTTTTAAAATTCTGACCTTGAAATATTTACAATTGTGCCACTGTGCTTCCGCTGACCGTAACTTCTTCGTTAAAACTGCGATTTGGGCCCACTACGTGTCTATGAACTCGTATCGATGAGCTCTACGCAAGGAAAAAAATGACTTGTCTCCTTTTAGTTTTTTCCAACCTTCGAATGACTTTGGTTGTTTTAGTCAAACGCCCTTAGTCTTTGTTTTTTTTTTTTTCCCGTCAAAGCTGCCTTAGTTGTTCTTTTATTATGTTTTGTCTTTTTTTTTTTTTTTTTGTGGCACAGTTTTATGACAAACTGTGGTCTAGCAAACTAAGACAGAACTGTTTAGCAAATTCTTCGTCTATTACAATTATTGTTATAGCAACAACAAGATTGAGAACTTGAAGATAAATGTACATGTCACTATCACTGGTGGTTTGTTGGTTGGGGATGGTAGAGCAAAAGGAGCCTGTAAATACAATTTTGTGTACTAAAACAAAACTGCATTTTCAGCTAGTTGACACACTAACAACTTGGGGCTTAGAGACTGAATCTTTTTGCAGTCATTACAAGAGAATCTGTGGGTATTCTTTTCTTTTCTTCTGTTATAGGGTACTCAAGTCAGCCTCATTACAGAGAGAAACTGCTCCAACTTACAAATGTGGAGGAGAGGCCGTGGGATGTGTACTGAAATGGGAATAGCCAAAACACCTACTGATGGAAAATAAGCCACTTCTAGCAGGCAATGACTCGGGTTTATCCTCAGATTTACTGTGAGGAAAGTGCCTATGAAAGGCATTCAATGCTCCTATCAACCCATCTTCGTCATCTATGGCCTTGGCAATTTCAAAGCACGCTCTTTAACCTTTCTACCGAAAAATAGTTATGTCTTTGTTAATTTAATATATTCATGTCCATACTAGGGATTGAAATAACAAAAAATAACCCCAAGAGTTATGACTAGTATTTGCATGTTAAAATTGATCGAAAAACAATGGCAACTTCAATCAAATCAGTGCGCATGCATGTGTGATAATTTTATGCTCAATATGTAAGTGATAGAGCAAAAAGCCAATAACTAACCGGTAAGTTATAGCGTGAAAAGCCAATATTTAACCATCATGTAAGTGATGGAGTGAAAAGCCTATAACTTACCGGTAAGTTATGGCGTGAAAAGCCAATATTTAATCGTCAGGTAAATGATTGAGCGAAAAGCCTATAACTTACCGGTAAGTTATTGCGTGAAAAGCCGATATTTAATCGACACGTAAATGATGCAGTGAAAAGATTGTCTATCTTATAGCTCTGAATTGTGTATTTTTAGGTCCGCGATGTACGCCTCATTATGGATCGCAATTCAAGACGTTCTAAGGGAGTTGGGTAAGTTTTTCTTAAGTCTTGGTGACAAAAGCTTTGGATGGTTGTTAACAGAAGGTTCACTTTAACAATTACCCATTATGCAATGGTAGCGTTTAAGATGATGTGAGAGTCTTAAATTATCCGGTTGTTAATGAAAAAAGTTTATGTGGTTGTGTTGACAAGAAGCCAAAGATTTCATTCTAAGGTTCAAATAAGACTATCCTTTTAATGTCGCTTGGTCATTTTTGGAATGGTTGGCAGTTCCTGCTTCCTTCTTGATGGCTGCATCTTCCTTGTTCCAACGTTTTCTTGTGCAGTACAAAGAATCATCACATCATTTACAATGTTCAAAATTTGCATCATCATCTTAGAAAGTTTTCGATGATATTGATCGCCTTTGTACTAAAAGCAGTACATATAGTATATACTATAGGTTATTCTAGTTGGTCAAGATGATAAGATATATCATATAGGACATTTTTCTTTCCCCGTTTTGAACTATGAGTGGAGACTCCAGTAAACTTTGCTATTATATGCATCTGTATGTGGCAATTGGTTTTTGATTATCCAAGAGTCTAATGTTCTCTAGTTTGTAGGTATATTGAGTTTTATGATGCAATGTCGGTACCTATGGCGATTGCACTTTCTGGTCAGCCTCTTCTTGGTCAACCAGTGATGGTGAAGCCATCAGAGGCTGAGAAGAATCTGGTTGAATCAACATCTGTGGTTAGTGGACCAGGTGGGATGATAGCCCCAGATTCTGGCGGAGCTAGAAGGCTGTACGTTGGAAATCTCCATACCAATATAAAAGAAGACGATCTCCACCAGGTGAGTGCTTTTCTGACACAGTTCTAATGTTGGCATCAGATAATGTACATAATCAAGTTTGCTGTTGGTTATGTAATTTTTTTTTTTGGTTGCTTTTGAGCACTTCTGTTCACAGTTTCCTAATTTCGTCTTTGTAATTGTGAATATTTTTTGCATTTTGACTTTCACCCTTTAATATGTGATATATATATATATATATATGCAGGTTTTTGGAGCATTTGGTCCTGTATAACTGGTTCACTTACCTGTTGACGAAACTAACAACTGCAAAGGTTTTGGATTTGTGCAGGTCTGTTTGACAGTCCGATAACTACAAGCACTAGTTGATGATACTATTAGTATCATGGTCTTAAATAGTTATTGTGGTATTTCCTGAATAGAAGCCTTTTTTGCTTTTGTGTTTTGAAATATTTGAATGTGTTGTGCCGATGTGTCACCGACTGCTATCATTCTGAGATTTATATGGTGGATCAGAGTTGCCACTTAGAATGATGCTTTAGATTCAGGTTTTCAGAGAAGTCGTTATTGTTACATAATTGTGCTTCCTTGTGGTTTCCCAAACGGATGATTTTGCTTAAAACCATATATTAAGTAATTTGGGAGTTCATCTACCTGAGTCCTCATTTTTCTATTTAGGTGTCAGCTGTTACAGACCAAGCTGGAATGCAAGATCTTGGAGCAAATGCTGGTGATTTTGATGACGATGAAGGTGGTGGCTTGGTTAGTAAGATCTTTCCTTTTATGTTTTTATTTTCTATTAACACAAAGAATTTGTGGACTGATATGATTGCTAAGAACTGTTTGCTCTGGCTCAGTAATATCTGGGAATAATTGTTGAATGTATGGAAGCTGCTGCTGCTCCATTGCTTTTAAGCGTTTTTGCTGCTTGATGCTTATGGTATCTATAGTTGGTTCGATTGGCTTAATATCTTTTGTGTTTATTGTTCTCTTATTTATTTGAGTGGATATATATTTCTTACTTCTTAAATGATTAGAGTTCATTCTCCTAGGAGAAAAATAAGGTCAAAAAATAATTTGAACTACCATCTCTTGCACTCCTGCCAGCTTTTTAACCTTTGATATTGGAAAGATTGGTCATTCAAGGTTGTGTTTTTTGCTAGCAGATTATTGAAGTTGAGCTTGATAATTCAAAATAACATAGCATCCATGAATTTTGTAATCGTTTTACTGGTTTCGGCACTTATCCCTCCCTTTTGCTTTAACTAGTAAGATATGCATTGTCTCTCAAGGCATTGCAGACATCAGCACTGCAATGCCGAGGGTGATAGTTTGGCATAGAAAGAGTGTCTGCACTGCAAATTTTTTTGTTGACCTGAGTGAAGGTGATTGACGTATTGTTTTTTTATGTTGCTAGTTTCAACATATCCCAAGTAGATATTAATCGCCCATTGTATAATATTTGAATATAATTTTTATAACATAGATTATTCTTATTCAATAATATGTGAGAATTATTTGTATAATATGTGAATTTTGTGTGTCTTACTGAAAATTTTGTACAAAAATGTGTATAAAACATTAGAAAATACATACATACATGTACAATACGACTATTATACGTTTACTTTTTAAAAAACGTGACGTATATAGGACAAAAATATATTATTGAAAAATACACACGTACATATATATATATATATACATAAAAGGCTATAGCCACTCGTCTATACTATTTATTACGGTGAATTTGAAAAAAAGAAATAAGTAAAGCCGGCCGGCTATACTATTCTTAAATATAAGAAAATAATCGCGTATAGCCGCTCGGCTATACTATTCACTGAAAAAAAAAACAGAGCAGCCACACGGCTGTTGGGCGTCCACGTGTAAACTTAAATTTTTTAAAAAAACTGAGTATAGCGGCTGTACTATTTTTAACCCACTAGCAATTAGACATCACATGTAAAAATAAGTATAGCCGCCCTGCCATGCTAATTAAAAAAATCGTAGGATAGCCATACGATTTAAGAAACCGAAATAAGAAAAAAGGACCTCCTAGTTGATTCCAACAGAACGGAAGAAATAAAGTCCAAACTTGAAGAAGCCTTTGGATTGCCCAATTGTTGTGGAGCCATAGATGGTACACACATCATTATGACCCTTCCTACCGTTCAAACATCAGACGATTGGTGTGACCTGGAGGACAATTGTTGACCATGCGATGAGGTTTCTTGGCATTGTAACTGGTTGGCCTTGGGGCATGACGGTGTCTAGACTTTTAAAGTGTTCAGGATTTTTCAAGCTCTGTGAAGGTGCACAGCGTTTGAATGAAATTCCATTGCTTCAATCTCCCTTGGTTGGGGGCTGTATGCATGCACAGAAGGGCGATTTCTTGTGTTTCTGGTTGGTTCTATTGCCACCATAGATATAGTCCTTCAGAAGAACTCTTGTTTTCCGCTCCGTGATCCTTGTTGATCCTCTGCTTTCCTTTTCTGGTTGGACCAATCAAAAACTGCTAACCCATTATGGATAAGGAAATAAATGGAGTAAAGCTTTAAGTTCCAGATAGAAAAAAAGAAGAGAGTATTGAAGCTTTAATAAATGGATCATCACCTCAGTCCAATTTCCCATTGCAGAGGGAATGTACAAACAGACATGGAGATTACCTCTGATTATTCTGTTTCTAGTTTATGAGATGTGGTGGCTGCAAGTACATGCTTCTCTAGTGCTGTTGTACACTCCTTCAAAGAGATGCAATATAGGCAGCCAACTGATCTTGTAGCCCTGATAAACGAAAATCAGGGAAAGGGAAGGAAAAAAAAAGGCAGTATAGCCGAACGGCTATACATTTAAAATATATTATATTTAAAGAGTACAGCCAAACGGCTATACGATTTTAAATATATTATATTTAAATATTATAGCCGTCCGGCTATACTATTTATTAGAAATAAAAAGGCCAAAAATGGCTATACGAGCTTTACATTTCCCTCGCTGCCTAGCTCGCTTCACTGAATTACTTCCCATCAAAGTCTTCAAGTTCAAGGCCAAAAAAGAGGTGGGCAATTCCTCATTTGAGCTCTCATGGCGTCTCCCAAGAAATCAAAGAAAAGCAAGAAAGATAGGAAATTGAAGAAAAACTTAAGCTTGGTTCCAGTCGAGCCCAAAGCCGCAGACTCTGACTGGTGGGATAGTTTCTTCAACCCAAGGTTTTTCTTTTCACTAAGCTCAGTCTCCAATTACTCTGCTTCCTGCTTTTTAGTGGAATGCATTCAGATTACTTGTAGTTTTAACCAAATTCTCTTTATATTTTGTTTATTTTGGAAAATCTATGATGCACAGACATCTAGAACAGGTGGTGGATTTTGTTCTGTAATGTTAAATTCGGTAATGATGTTCATAATCAGAGCTCAAAACCTATAAACTGTGCTTTTGTTCAGTTAGGCTGTCGGAAAAATAGGCCTAGGCGCTAGGCGGCCGCCTAGGCGGGTCTAGGCGGGTCCCTTGTTTTTCCTTTTTTTTTACATTTTTTTCTTTCTGACTTTAGCTCAATCATGAAATCGCTTCAATTTCTGATGGCCGCTATACGAAAACTGGGTTTTGATTATGTGTTTTGCATCCTGAAAAGAGAAAGATGTGGTTGAAAAGTTATTACTAGAGGGAGCAATAGAGATTTTAGTCTGTAATTGTTAGGAATCTGGTTTGGCCTAAGTTGGATTAGTTGGAAATCCTAACTGAATCAGAATTGGGGAATATACAGACACAGAAACACATAGTCGTGCTTTGCTTGTTGTCATAGATAATAGCAACTAAAGGTAGATAATAGCAAGTACATGGACTAAGGTTTGGGGCTTTAGATAGATAATAGCAAGTACAGGGACTAAGGTTTTGTTGAGTTGTTCTTGAGGTGGTTGTACTATCTTTTTGTTTTCTGGTCATGTTTATGTTCTAGTGAGCCAGAACTAAAGATTTGGGGCTTGAGATAGATAAGTGGCTTATCTATGGGACTGGGAAAGAGACATCCCGCTTTGTTTGAGAAGGTTTGAATCAGACATTTGATTTTTATGATGATTGCACAAATTTTCATCTACAAATTGATTGAATAACTAGTGTAGTGCTTCAAGTTACCAGTCACTTCTAACCAAGGTGCTTTCTAATAGTGCCACCATACTCATTAAACATAGAGACCTCTGTGTGTCATCCGTTTGATTCTAATAATTTCCAAGTGTTAAGTTGGTTAACTGGCCTAGCATTTGAGCCATAAATTACTGAAACAGTCCCATGATGAAAGAATTGATTGCATTCTCATGATTATTTGTGATCATAGAAACTGCTTTCCAGAAATCCCTTAATCTTCTCTGATGTATTTTGTTTCATTTTTCGGCACACAGGTTGGAGAGGACTTGATGAAGGCATCGTTGTAGTTGGGACTTGCATGATTTAACAGCTACAATGGCTGGTTGGAGAGGACTTGATCAATCGGAGCAGCAGAAATGCTACTGTTCTCAAGCTTACCAAATGCCGCACAGTAGAAGCCCTTGAATTTGCTGCAAATGTGTAAGTTTTCTCATTTAAGTTAATTTCACATTTCCAATCCAACGGTAGTTTAATTTTCCTTGTAAATGTAATGTAGCATTTTTGTTGTTGTGGAATGCGTGCAGGTGTCCTGGCCTTGTGACTTTGAGTTTACCAGGAGATGTATTGGACAACAAACACACGAACCTAGAGCTGATCTGGCAAGTGGAAAAATTTGGAGGTGTTATCATTGGGTTCATGCTTAAATTTCGTGAAAATACTTGCAATTATACAAACACATTGGAAGAATTTTTATGGTTTAGATTTGTCCAAAGGCTCTGTTCAAGGACGTGAGGCATCATCAATTGTGAAGTTGGTGCCTTATCAAGTACTTAAATTTGAAGGGTGCAAAAGTTAGTCGGGATAGTCTTGTCATGTTGTTGTGCGGATGCAAAGATCTGGTGATGTTGGACGCCAGAGATTGTTTTGGTTTCGATGAGAACGACAATGAAATATCAAAGCTTGCGTCTCATATTAGTAAATTTATGCGCTCGGGTTCTGAATTTCCTGAATTTCTTCGTGGTTTGGACAATTTGGTTCTTCCTGTTGATGGATACTCATTTGATCAGCATGTGGAGGAGAATTGGGATGAAATGCTCAATGATTTGCTCAATGCGTTCAATGATTTGCGATTGAAGGAACAATCTATGTCTCTGTCTCAGCATCCATACAAGACATAATTCGGAGATTTAAAGGGGCTCACAGTAACTTTGATGAATTTCCAGAGAGGTCTAAGTCTTAATAGTACGTGTTTTATCATATGTTGGGAATACCCAATCTGGCAGCTTGTTTAGCTACAATGACAGTCCTTCAGGTTTGCTTTTCTGTTTTTCCTTTTTTCCTCGGCTCATTTTTCCTTGTCTTAATTAGGGTGCTCTGCTGCTCAGCGATACTCACCCATCTCTGAAAAATAGCTGAGCTCATTAGAGTGCTTGTTGATGAAGAGCATTTGGGTTGGAATAAAGCGTGGGACATTGCTTGCAACTGGCTTGCGAGCATATGCAGCAGATCCTGACCTTCAACAAGAATGGATGATGGTACTCACTAGGCTTGATATCTGCTTAGGAACCAAAAATATATTAAGCTTTTGGCTTCTTTAATTTTGTATTTAAATCTGTTGTATATATGCTCGTGTTGTAGGTTAAGAACGTTAACAAAATGAGGCTCGCTGAGTACATTGAAGCCCTAACCTAAACCCTAAAATAATATGACAAAATTGTATATTTAAATGGTATAGCCGGGCGGCTATACTATTTAAATATGTTCGAATATTTTTAAACGTATAGCCGTACGGCTATAATGTCTAAATACATTCGAATTTTAAAGGTATAGCCGCACGGCTATACTGTTTAAATATTCTTTACACGAAGCTTGCACTCGCAGAGGACGGAACTTGCACTCGCAGTCACTGCTTCGTCCTCCGAGTTCGGCACCGAAAAAAGACCCAACCAGCCTAGGCGCCTGCCTAGCTGCCTAGCGACCGCCTAGCCGCCTAGCGCCCTCCTAGCCACCGCCTGGCCGCCTAGCGCCCGCCTAGCGACCGCCTAGCCGCCTAGCGCCCTCCTAGCCACCGCCTGGCCGCCTAGCGCCCGCCTAGCGACCTCCTGGCCGCCTAGCACCCGCCTAGCGACATCCTAGCTGCCTAGCGCCCGCATAGCGACTGCCTAGCCGCCTAGCCGCCCGCCTAGGCCGATTTTTTCAAACACTGCGATTGACTGAAAGTCTGAAACCCGAAATTGAAAAAATTTAGCTGCAAATTTGAGCTTGAGATTGGGAAGCTGAAGCAGTGAAGCACAAGTCAGGTCCATAGAAGAGCAAATATGTTGGTGCATGCATTCTATGGTGTTATCTTGAACTTTCTATCTTTCACATTCTCATATCTTAACTATTAAGATTTGGTGAACAACTTTGACAGATTTGTCTGAAGGCGGATGAAAGAGATGTATACGAGTTCTTCTCAAGGGCTGGCAAGGTTTGTACATTACTCGTTTATTTATCTCATGTTCCTTTAACAAATCATAGAGGATGGTGGATAAATATCTTAAACTATTTAGCTAAAAGGGACTTCTTGATATAAATGCATTATATTTTCACCTTCTGCTCTCAAGGGCACCCTAACACTATCTGATGCAGTGCTGCAACTAAACCAAATACTGGAAACCCATAACGCTTTCCATTAAGTGCTTCTGTGGATGTAATTGTAAGTATATTTCTATGATTGTCTGTCTAATAGCTCTGAATTGTGTATTTTTAGGTCCGCGATGTACGCCTCATTATGGATTGCAATTCAAGACGTTCTAAGGGAGTTGGGTAAGTTTTTCTTATGTCTTGGTGACAAAAGCTTTGGATGGTTGTTAACAGAAGGTTCACTTTAACAATTACCCATTATGCAATGGTAGCGTTTAAGATGATGTGAGAGTCTTAAATTATCCGGTTGTTGATGAAAAAAGTTTATGTGGTTGTGTTGACAAGAAGCCAAAGATTTCATTCTAAGGTTCAAATAAGACTATCCTTTTAATGTCGCTTGGTCATTTTTGGAATGGTTGGCAGTTCCTGCTTCCTTCTTGATGGCTGCATCTTCCTTGTTCCAACGTTTTCTTGTGCAGTACGAAGAATCATCACATCATTTACAATGTTCAAAATTTGCACCATCATCTTAGAAATTTTTCGATGATATTGGTCGCCTTTGTACTAAAAGCAGTACATATAGTATATACTATAGGTTATTCTAGTTGGTCAAGATGATCAGATATATCATATAGGACATTTTTCTTTCCCCGTTTTGAACTATGATTGGAGACTCCAGTAAACTTTGCTATTATATGCATCTGTATGTGGCAATTGGTTTTTGATTATCCAAGAGTCTAATGTTCTCTAGTTTGCAGGTATATTGAGTTTTATGATGCAATGTCGGTATCTATGGCGATTGCACATTCTGGTCAGCCTCTTCTTGGTCAACCAGTGATGGTGAAGCCATCAGAGGCTGAGAAGAATCTGGTTCAATCAACATCTGTGGTTAGCGGACCAGGTGGGATGATAGGCCCATATTCTGGCGGAGCTAGAAGGCTGTATGTTGGAAATCTCCATACCAATATAAAAGAAGACGATCTCCGCCAGGTGAGTACTTTTCTGACACAGTTCTAATGTTGGCATCAGATAATGTACATAATCAAGCTTGCTGTTGGTTATGTAATTTTTTTTGTTGCTTTTGAGCACTTCTGTTCACAGTTTCCTAATTTCGTCTTTGTAATTGTGAATATTTTTTGCATTTTGAATTTTCACCCTTTAATATGTGATATATATATATATATATATATGCAGGTTTTTGGAGCATTTGGTCCTGTAGAACTGGTTCAGTTACCTGTTGACGAACTAACAACTGCAAAGGTTTTGGATTTGTGCAGGTCTGTTTGACTACAACTTTCAACTTAAGAAGCCTGGATATAGAATAAATATATAAATGTTTGCATGCAGCTAGTTATATTAAGCCAAAGGTCAACCAACAAGCAATCCGTAAAATGGTTTAATTAAAACTTCAAAGACTGTTGGCATCCTTCAGTTCTGTTATTTGTTTATATTTATTTTCAAGTCCAAATCCATGGAGGGGAAATTTGTGTGCAGTTCTGTTATCGGAGTCGTTTTTGGCAGCGTTGAAATTGAACTAGTCTTAGCAGTTCGTATCATTATTGTGTGTGACGGTAACACTATATCTAACAACTTAAAACTACGCATTAGAACTAATATTTCTTTTTTCTTCTGTGTAGGTTGCAATATCTGTGATCAGGGTACTTTTGTTTGTGGCAAGGCCAAGGACTTTTGTTCAAGGAAACCTTCCGAATTCCACGGTTTACAGAAATGTTGAGCAGTATCCCAATGCAAGCAATGTTCCTGGAATTCTCATACTTGAGATTGATGCTCCCATTTACTTTGCAAATACCAACTACTTAAGAGAAATGTACTAATTAATTTAAACCTGAACACACTCTTGCATGTTATAATAAAATTTAAAAATAATAATTTGAAAGTTGACCCAAAGTCCTACTTGATTTCAGGATTACAAGGTGGATAAATGATGAGGAAGATAGGATCAAATCTGCAGGGGAAAAGTAGCTTACAATATGTGATATTGGATATGACTGATAATTAAGGGAAACAAATAGTGCATATATATATTGGTTGGTGGGTTTCTTTTTTTAAACACTTCAAAAATTGCAAGTTCTTAACAAAATGTATTTTTTTAAATATTTTTTATTTGGGTTTTAACTTAAAAAATTATTAAAATGTCCACACCACGTCAGTAAGTTAACGATATTGTTGTTTAAATTGACGAAATGGGGCAATGTGAGACACAAAATAATACATGGGGCATATTGACCCAATTACATATTTAAAGTCATGCAGTAAAATGAAATTTTTGATAAAGCACATAGGGTATATCAATAAATAAGCAAAATGAAAATGGTTCATCAAATTTAGCTTATGATTCCTAAGTTTATGAAAATGGAAATAGTTTCATAGAAATTCTCAGATAAAGCAAAATCTCTTGTCCTTCAATTTGTTTCCTCGTTAAAGAATAAAATCAGACTAAACAAGACTTAGAAAATTAAAAAAATATTTATGGGTTAATTAAATAATAGGGCAAGAAAAAAGACCCCCTAAATTATAGTCATTTGCAAGTTCATACACATTTTGAAAGACATTTACAACTACATACTCAAACTCCCGAAAAACCTACATTTTACCCGCTCCCATAATGAGATCGTCACGAAAGTTGTTAGTTGACGAAGGGCACTTACATGTACAATTTTTAGAGAGCATTTTTGGCATATCACTGCATGCTCGTGTTTATAAAATTTTCTCTCCCAGCACTATACACGTGGCCACATATTGACGAACAATTACAACATAATTACATTCAAAGCTATTGATGAATAGACAAATGCAAACGTCTTGGACCACCAACTATTGTCTAGAATCTAAAAGCAGTATGCTCAAAACAAGATAACAACTTTTATTTAGTGTTCCAACCACACAAAACAAACACAGATATAAATGACTTATAATTCTATAAGAATTCATACAATATATATATTAATAAATGTGAAAAATGAGTGGTTTTCCTTTAAGAGTTGTTCATATTTGACACTATTTCAATACATGTATTATTTACATTTAGCATATGATGTCACATACGTACGGACGCGTGTCACTACTTTCATAGTGTATTCAAATTGTACTATTGTATAATGTCAATAATTGTCTCTCCTCTTTCAACCACATATTATTGACTACATAAGTCCAAATTCTTGTTCTAGCTAGAATCCCATCACATTTGAGTTGAAATATAGCTTTGCACATATCAGCTGACACATCTAGTCAGCTAAAGGTGGCCGGAAAAAGTTGTCTAAATATGCTCTAGTCATTTCTAAGGGGGCCGACTTTTCTGTTTTCCTTCCCTTTGCCTATGAATTCATGAGAGCGTCCGAGAATGTATATGGAACCAACCAAAAGTTGTAGTTGGTGTAGATTTTAGCTAGGATTTGATGTTAGCTTCACTTTGTCGATTGTCTATTTTATTGAACTATTGTCGTTGGCATGTCTTTTGATTCATGACTTTTCCAACGCCTGCTTCATCATTATCTTCATATTTTCCAAGTTAAACAAAGAACGTTTTAATTCTTTTATTCTCTCTTGAATCTCTATATAAGTAGCAAGATAAAACTCATATTAAAATTGCACTGCCACAAGCCATTAAACTTGTTTTCCACTAATCAAAAAAGAAAGAATTCGAAATGGCAGTTGTGGATTCTGAGCTGGAGAAGGAATTGAAACAATTCGATGAAACAAAAGCTGGTGTCAAAAGCTCCCTAGAATGTTCAGTCACCCTCCAGAGACCCTACCTTCCCCCAACCAAAAAAACAGAAAAAGAAGAAGCCAGTATAGCCGGTCGGCTATACTATTTTTTTAAAATAGAAAAATCCACGTATAGCCGCGCGGATATACTAATTTTTAAAAAGGCTTCTCCGTGGGATTAGTGGCCATGTTGTAGGTCAGGATCTGCTGCATATGCTCATGTTGAAGGTTAAGAAGGTTAACAAAATAAATCTGTTGTATATATGCTCATGTTGTAGGTTAAGAAGGTTAACGAAATAAGGCTCGCTGAGTACATTGAAGCAATGAGTGGTGTGAAGGTTTGGTCACAAGTTCTTAGAACTTCGATCCTGTTCATCTTTTCTCTTTTATCTTGAAGGTATGTCTAACGGATTACACTGAAATTTATCACTTTCAATTGCAGGTTAGTTTAGATGCAATGTTTGATGTGCAGACAGAGCGAATACACGAGTACAAAAGGCAGCTGCTTAATATAATTGGCATTATCCATCGACATGACTGTATCGAGGTGAATCTGATTTTATATGGTGAAAAACTTTGCATTCTATATTTTAACTTATTAACACAGAACTACTTTATACAATGGTGGGGCTATGCAAAGTGCCTACCCTGCCCAAAGAACTACCTTATACCTTATATTTTTGTAACTTATTAACAAAGAACTACCTTATACCTTCTAAAGGGAGCTATCACCATCCTCCAAAATTGTGCATATCTAGTTCATCTTCTTGTCAAGATAATTTAAGTTGTTGGACAATAATTTGTTGATTTTTCAATGAGATATGATGTGCAAGTGGAGCTTTCTTCTCATGTTTGTTGTATTTTAGCCGTAACCTAAACCCTAAAATAATATGACAAAATTGTATATTTAAAGCGTATAGCCGAGCGGCCATACTCTTAAAATATGTTCAAATATATTAAACGTATAGCCGGTCGGCTATACTTTCTAAATACATTCGAATATTTTAAACGTATAGCCGCACGGCTATACGCTTTAAATATATTCTTTACGAACACGAAGCTTGCACTCGCAGTCACCACTTCATCCTCCGAGTTCGGCACCGAAAAAGGACCCAACCTGCCTAGGCACCGGCCTAGCTGCCTAGCGACCGCCTAGCCGCCTAGTGCCCGCCTAGCGCCCGCCTAGCGACCTCCTAGCCGCCTAGCGCCCGCCTAGGGACATCCTAGCCGCCTAGCGACCGCCTAGCCTCCCGCCTAGGCCGATTTTTCAAACACTGCGATTGACTGAAAGTCTGAAACCCGAAATTGAAAAAATTTAGCTGCAAATTGGAGCTTGAAGCTGAAGCAGTGAAGCGCAAGTCAGGTCCATAGAAGAGCAAATATGCTGGTGCATGCATTCTATGGTGTTATCTTGAACTTTCTATTAAGATTTGGTGAACAACTTTGACAGATTTGTCTGAAGGCAGACGAAAGAGATGTATACGAGTTCTTCTCAAGGGCTGCAAGGTTTGTACATTTCTCGTTTACTTTATCTCATGTTCTTTCAACAAATCATAGAGGATGGTATAAAGATCTTAAACTATTTAGCTAAAAGGGACTTCTTGATATAAATGCATTATATTTTCACCTTCTGCTCTCAAGGGCACCCTAACACCATCTGATGCAGTGCTTCAACTAAACCAAATACTGGAAACCCATAACGTTTTCCATTAAGTGCTTCTGTGGATGTAATTGTTAGTATATTTCTATGATTGTCTATCTAATAGCTCTGAATTGTGTATTTTTAGGTCCGCGATGTACGCCTCATTATGGATCGCAATTCAAGACGTTCTAAGGGAGTTGGGTAAGATTTTCTTATGTCTTGGTGACAAAAGCTTTGGATGGTTGTTAACATAAGGTTCACTTTAACAATTACCCATTATGTAATGGTAGCGTTTAAGATGATGTGAGAGTCTTAAATTATCCGGTTGTTAATGAATAAAGTTTATGTGGTTTGTTGACAAGAAGCCAAAGATTTCATTCTAAGGTTCAAATAAGACTATCCTTTTAATGTCGCTTGGTCATTTTTGGAATGGTTGGCAGTTCCTGCTTCCTTCTTGATGGCTGCATCTTCCTTGTTCCAACGTTTTCTTGTGCAGTACAAAGAATCATCACGTCATTTACAATGTTCAAAATTTGCACCATCATCTTAGAAAGTTTTCGATGATATTGATCGCCTTTGTTCTAAAAGCAGTACATATAGTATATACTATAGGTATTCTAGTTGGTCAAGATGATCAGATATATCATATAGGACATTTTTCTTTCCCCGTTTTGAACTATGAGTGGAGACTCCAGTAAACTTCGCTATTATATGCATCTGTATGTGACAATTGGTTTTTGATTATCCAAGAGTCTAATGTTCTCTAGTTTGCAGGTATATTGAGTTTTATGATGCAATGTCGGTATCTATGGCGATTGCACATTCTGGTCAGCCTCTTCTTGGTCAACCAGTGATGGTGAAGCCATCAGAGGCTGAGAAGAATCTGGTTCAATCAACATCTGTGGTTAGCGGACCAGGTGGGATGATAGGCCCATATTCTGGCGGAGCTAGAAGGCTGTATGTTGGAAATCTCCATACCAATATAAAAGAAGACGATCTCCGCCAGGTGAGTACTTTTCTGACACAGTTCTAATGTTGGCATCAGATAATGTACATAATCAAGCTTGCTGTTGGTTATGTAATTTTTTTTTGTTGCTTTTGAGCACTTCTGTTCACAGTTTCCTAATTTCGTCTTTGTAATTGTGAATATTTTTTGCATTTTGACTTTTCACCCTTTAATATGTGATATATATATATATATATATGCAGGTTTTTGGAACATTTGGTCCTGCAGAACTGGTTCAGTTACCTGTTGACGAAACTAACAACTGCAAAGGTTTTGGATTTGTGCAGGTCTGTTTGGCTACAACTTTCAACTTAAGAAGCCTAGATATAGAATAAATATATAAATGTTTGCATGCAGCTAGTTATATTAAGCCAAAGGTCAACCAACAAGCAATCCATAAAATGGTTTAATTAAAACTTCAAAGACTGTTGGCATCCTTCAGTTCTGTTATTTGTTTATATTTATTTTCAAGTCCAAATCCATGGAGGGGAAATTCATTAAAGATAAGAAAAAGAAGACTGTCAACTGCCGGTTCGTTGTAGCTGGAGATGGAATTTGAAATCGACTCTAAACAAATGCACACCTTTTCTTGATTGGGTCTTCTACTGCACCAGAATTTAATAAGAATCTAGTGTATTGTCTTTCAAGTTTCTTCCCAACTCAAACTGAGAAGAGTGGGCACCAAAAACTTCCAACTGCCAAATCCTTAGCTAGGTGCGGGCATGGGTTGGGTTAAGGGTCAACCCATCATACAATTTCAGGTTACAATATTTTAAAACCTGAAAGGCCAATGAAATCAAGTTGGGTTGGCAATGTTTTTTTTCCCCTTCCTTTTAGTTCAATTCCATTCCAGTTGTTCTTATCAGATGCTGGATATGATTCCTTGTAATTGTATTGAATAAATCAAACTCATTGAATCAGTTGCTTGCAGTTCTCACGTCTTGAAGATGCCAGAAATGCACTGAGTTTGAATGGAAAATTGGAGATTGCAGGTCGACTAATTAAGGTAATGGCACTTTACTATATTGTTATTATACTTCTTCCTCCAGAAATATGCTTGCATTGTGTACTCTTTCCGAGCTCATCAATTAGGTTGTGTGTGTTACTGGTATGTTAGTTCCTCTGGTTAATTTGGCGATGCTTTTTTGACATGGCATGTATTTATTTGATTGTTGGAATTTTTTGTTGGTGACTCTGTTCAGCCTTTCATTGTCCAAATGGATTATACAGTGTGATCACTGTAAGGTAGCGAAACCCAGCAGGCCTACCGTGCAATAGTGCATGAGCTGGGGTTTTTGTTAATGCGCACATTGAGTAGCACGTAGTTGATGTGGTGAACTTCTCATAATGTGCAGATTGTTGTAGCACGTAATTTTACCGATAACTACAAGCACTAGTTGATGATACTATTAGTATCATGGTCTTAAATAGTTATTGTGGTATTTCCTGAATAGAAGCCTCTCTTGCTTTTGTGTTTTGAAATATTTGAATGTGTTGTGGCGATGTGTCACCGACTGCTATCATTCTGAGATTTATAGGGTGGATCAGAGTTGCCACTTAGAATGATGCTTTAGATTCAGGTTTTCAGAAGTCGTTGCGTTGTTACATAATTGTGCATCCTTATGGTTTCCCAAATGGATGATTTTGCTTAAAACCATATATTAAGTAATTTGGGAGTTCGTCTACCTGAGTCCTCATTTTTCTATTTAGGTGTCAGCTGTTACAGACCAAGCTGGAATGCAAGATCTTTGAGCAAATGCTGGTGATTTTGATGACGATGAAGGTGGTGGCTTGGTTAGTAAGATCTTTCCTTTTATGTTTTTATTTTCTATTAACACAAAGAATTTGTGGGCTGATATGTAAAGAGAATACTACTCCAGCAGATCCCATGAAATCAGCTGATCCCATTACATCAGCCTTAGAAGCCTCCTAACCACAAGCACGGCATTCATCGGCCAGAATGATTAATTGTCAATTCCTCTGTAATATATGTAATTGATTGGACTTACCTTATATCGTTAAGTTTCTGTAAATAGACTTGAGAAAGTCTAACCCATGTACCAATATTTATACTGCAGATAATACAGAGAACGGCATCTTGACTGTGGCAATTATTCTTAATCTCTCTGTTCTCATCCCTCTCTCTTCCTCTTGAGTTCATTCTCTAATAATATGATTGCTAAGAACTGTTTGCTCTGGCTCAGTAATTTCTGGGAATAATTGTTGAATGTATCGAAGCTGCTGCTGCTCCATTGCTTTTAAGCTTTTTTGCTGCTTGATGCGTATGGTATCTATAGTTGGTTCGATTGGCTTAATATCTTTTGTGTTTATTGTTCTCTTATTTATTTGAGTAGATATATATTTCTTACTTCTTAAATGATTAGAGTTCATTCTCCTAGGAGAAAAATAAGGTCGAAAAATAATTTGAACTACCATCTCTTGCACTCCTGCCAGCTTTTTAACCTTTGATATTGGAAAGATTGCTCATTCAAGGTTGTTTTTTTTGCTAGCAGATTATTGAAGTTGAGCTTGATAATTCAAAATAACATAGCATCCATGAATTTTGTAATCATTTTACTGGTTTCGGCACTTATCCCTCCCTTTTGCTTTAACTAGTAAGATATGCATTGTCTCTCAAGGCATTGCAGACATCAGAACTGCAAAGCCGAGGGTGATAGTTTGGCATAGAATGAGTGTCTGCACTGCATAATTTTTGTTGTTGACCTGAGTGAAGGTGATTGACGTATTGTTTTTTCTGCTAGTTTCAACATATCCCAAGTAGATATTAATTGCCCATTGTATAATGTTTTAATTTAATTTTTATACCATATATTATTCTTATTCAATAATATATGAGAATTATTTGTATAATACGTGAATTTTGTGTCTTACTGAAAATTTTGTAAAAAATGTGTATAAAACATTAGAAAATACGTACATACATGTACAATAAGTATAGCCGCCCTGCTATGCTAATTAGAAAAAATCGTAGGATAGCTATACGATTTAAGAAACCAAAATAAGAAAAAAGGACCTCCTAGTTGATTCCAACAGAATGTGGAAGAAATAAAGTCCAAACTTGAAGAAGCCTTTGGATTGCCCAATTGTTGTGGAGCCATAAATGGTACACACATCATTCTGACTCTTCCTACCATTCAAACATGAGACGATTGGTGTGACCTGGAGGACAACTACAGCATGCTCTTGCAGGGAATTGTTGACCATGAGATGAGGTTTCTTGACATTGTAACTGGTTGGCCTGGGGGCATGACGGTGTCTAGACTTTTAAAGTGTTCAGGATTTTTCAAGCTCTGTGAAGGTGGACAGCGTTTGAATGAAAATGTTATAACTTTATCTGGAGGAGTAGAGATTAGAGAATACTTAGTTGGCGGGGTTGGCTATCCTCTGCTTCCCTGGCTCATAACTCCTTATGAAAGCAATGGCCTCCCAGCTTCCATTTCCGCTTTCAATTCCGTGCATGGGGCTGCAAGGTCACTTGCAGTAAAGGCATTCACGCAGTTAAAGGGCACTTGGAGAATCCTTAACAAGGTTATGTGGAGACCCGATAAGCGGAAACTTCCGAGCATCATCTTGGTATGTTGTTTACTTCACAATATAATTGACAGTAGAGATTTACAACCAGATGTTGCTTTTTTAATCTGCGGCATAAGTAAGACAAGCAGCAATATACATGTAAAAGAAAAATAATATGATAAAAAAAGCAAACACCATCAGAGTGAGTTTCCTTTGATTAGAAGATGGGGCCTGGCATGTACAGCAGGATCTCAAAACTAAGCAAGACCCAATACTCCTCTCTATAAAATATGGCAAAACAAGTAGAGCTCTCTAGAAAGAAAAAACTCATGACAATGAGAAAAAACTTAAGCACAAAAGGGCGCTTTCTTGCGGCTATACTCTTCAAATATGTTCAAATATTTTAACAGTTTAGCCGTTCGGCTATACTTTCTCAATACATTCCAATATTTTAACAGTATAGCCGAGCGGCTGGACGCTTTAAATTTATTCTTTACGAACACGAAGCTTGCACTCGCAGAGGACGGAACTCGCACTTGCAGTCACTGCTTCGTCCTCCGAGTTCGGCAGCGAAAAAGACCCAACCCGCCTAGGCGCCCGCCTAGCTGCCTAGCGACCCGCCTAGCCGCCTAGCGCCCGCCTAGCAACCGCCTAGCCGCCTAGAGCCCGCCTAGCAACCGCCTAGCCGCCTAGAGCCCGCCTAGCAACCGCCTAGCCTAGAGCCCGCCTAGCAACCGCCTAGCCGCCTAGCGCCTTCCTAGCGACCTCCTAGCCGCCTGGCGCCCGCCTAGCTGCCTAGCGACCGCCTAGTCGCCTAGCTACCGCCTAGCCGCCTAGCGCCCGCCTAGCCGCCTAGCGACATCCTAGCCGCCTAGCGCCCGCATAGCGACCGCCTAGGCCCGATTTTTCAAAGACTGAAAGTCTGAAACCCGAAAATGAAAAAATTTAGCTGCAAATTTGATCTTGAGATTGGGAAGCTGAAGAACTGAAGCACAAGTCAGGTCCATAGCAAATATGTTGGTGCATGCATTCTATGGTGTTATCTTGAACTTTCTATCTTTCACATTCTCATATCTAACTATTAAGATTTGGTGAACAACTTTGACAGATTTGTCTGAAGGCAGATGAAAGAGATGTATACGAGTTATTCTCAAGGGCTGGCAAGGTTTGTACATTTCTCGTTTATTTATCTCATGTTCATTTAACAAATCATAGAGGATGGTGGATAAATATCTTAAACTATTTAGCTAAATGCATTATATTTTCACCTTCTGCTCTCAAGGGCACCCTAACACTATCTGATGCAGTGCTGCAACTAAACCAAATACTGGAAACCCATAACGTTTTCCATTAAGTGCTTCTGCGGATGTAATTGTAAGTATATTTCTATGATTGTCTATCTCATAGCTCTGAATTGTGTATTTTTAGGTCCGCGATGTACGCCTCATTATGGATCGCAATTCAAGACGTTCTAAGGGAGTTGGGTAAGTTTTTCTTATGTCTTGGTGACAAAAGCTTTGGATGGTTGTTAACAGAAGGTTCACTTTAACAATTACCCATTATGCAATGGTAGCGTTTAAGATGATGTGAGAGTCTTAAATTATCCGGTTGTTAATGAAAAAAGTTTATGTGGTTGTGTTGACAAGAAGCCAAAGATTTCATTCTAAGGTTCAAATAAGACTATCCTTTTAATGTCGCTTGGTCATTTTTGGAATGGTTGGCAGTTCCTGCTTCCTTCTTGATGGCTGCATCTTCCTTGTTCCAACGTTTTCTTGTGCAGTACAAAGAATCATCACATCATTTACAATGTTCAAAATTTGCATCATCATCTTAGAAAGTTTTCGATGATATTGATTGCCTTTGTACTAAAAGCAGTACATATAGTATATACTATAGGTTATTCTAGTTGGTCAAGATGATAAGATATATCATATAGGACATTTTTCTTTCCCCGTTTTGAACTATGAGTGGAGACTCCAGTAAACTTTGCTATTATATGCATCTGTATGTGGCAATTGGTTTTTGATTATCCAAGAGTCTAATGTTCTCTAGTTTGTAGGTATATTGAGTTTTATGATGCAATGTCGGTACCTATGGCGATTGCACTTTCTGGTCAGCCTCTTCTTGGTCAACCATTGATGGTGAAGCCATCAGAGGCTGAGAAGAATCTGGTTGAATCAACATCTGTGGTTAGTGGACCAGGTGGGATGATAGCCCCAGATTCTGGCGGAGCTAGAAGGCTGTACGTTGGAAATCTCCATACCAAAATAAAAGAAGACGATCTCCCGCCAGGTGAGAGGAAAAAAAAAAAAAAAAAAAAAAAAAAAAAAAAAAAAAAAAAAAAAAAAAAAAAAAAAAAAAAAAAAAAAAAAAAAAAAAAAAAAAAAAAAAAAAAAAAAAAAAAAAAAAAAAAAAAAAAAAAAAAAAAAAAAAAAAAAAAAAAAAAAAAAAAAAAAAAAAAAAAAAAAAAAAAAAAAAAAAAAAAAAAAAAAAAAAAAAAAAAAAAAAAAAAAAAAAAAAAAAAAAAAAAAAAAAAAAAAAAAAAAAAAAAAAAAAAAAAAAAAAAAAAAAAAAAAAAAAAAAAAAAAAAAAAAAAAAAAAAAAAAAAAAAAAAAAAAAAAAAAAAAAAAAAAAAAAAAAAAAAAAAAAAAAAAAAAAAAAAAAAAAAAAAAAAAAAAAAAAAAAAAAACTGCAATATTATCAGCATACAAGAAGAAGCCCATGTAATAAGATATGCTTAATAATCCAAAACCACCATGAGGATTCTGAAATGACCATGTATGATACGTTTCCTTGTATGATACGTTTCCATTATAGCCGCAAGGCTCGACTCTATAAATAGAAATTATAAACGTACAGCCGCACGGCTATACTTTCTACTTACATTCGAATATTTTAACAGTACAGCCGACCGGCTATACTCTTTAAATATATTCGAACGAACACGAAGCTTGCACTCGCAGAGAACGGAACTTTCTCTCGTAGTCACTGCTTCTTCCTCCGAGTTCGGCACCGAACTCAGAGGCCGACTTTTCGAACACTGCGATGACTGTGACTGGAAGTCTAAAAGCAAATTTGAGATTGGGAAGCCGAAGCAGTGATGCACCTCACTGCCTGTGTTTTAGGTGGAGAATGTGAGTACAATTTTTGTTTGCCGCATTCCTCGTAATACTGATTCACTATTTCAGAGTAGTCGAAATCCGTCTTTCTGCATTTTCGTAGTAGTAGAGAGAGAGAGAGAGAGAGAGTGCATCTTGACCTTTTATTTTCAAGAATTTGGTTGCCAATTCATACATGTACTGTTAAACTGGCATTATCTGCTTTTAGGTTACGCTTGTTAGCTATTTATGACATTCTAGGCACATTGAGCACTGCTACTCTTGAATTATGTTCTCTATGTATAACGTATGTTGGACTTGGAGGCGCTAATTGTACAGTATGAATGGCCAATATAGATACGAGCCTCCATTCGAGCTCTATTTTCAGATAGAGAATGCTTGTACAGCCGTTGAACAACAAACATGATCTACAGAGAATTAACGAAATTCAGGTCAGTGACTCACTGTTGTCTTTGATCTTTCTCTTGTAGGTCATGAATTCAAATCTGTTACTCTCTTTATTGATATTTGTTTGTGTTGAACTTGAAGGCTAAGTTTTTCTAATGCAGTTGGTCAAATTAAGGTCTGAATTCAGATCCGGGCTAGACGCATTGACAAGGTTTGTTTTTGAAAGAACAAGGCCGAAGCAAGTTGGGGCAACTATGATGACGGGTCCCGCACCATATCCTCTTCATGGCAGGTTTATGTACTCCTTGAGCTCTCTTATTGGGCAGTATTTTGCAACGGGCTCTAAATTATTAGTTTTTATCCATGATTTTCCTTGTGTATAAAAGTTTAACAGAATCTTAATTTCTAACCGGAAAAAGTTGGAAGTAGTGAATATGTAATAAACGATTGACCAACCAACTGGAATTAGATGTGTGCTATATAAATTTTTGTCTTGGTTAGCTTCTTTGTGCTGTTTCATTGAGGTTACATAAATAATATATGTTGCCCTGTGTCTTATCTGAAGAGAGTAGATGTTGAAGTGGATGTTCTGTTTTCATTTTAAACTACAACAATGGAGAATACAATAATAAAATAACCCTTTTGGATCTCAGGCTTCATACGGAATAGAGGGTGAATAAGAAACTGACTCTGGAACAACTCTGATTACAAATTTCTTAGGCATCATGTGATTGTGTTAATCTTACTCTGCAGAGTGTCGAAGAAGATGGGTGTCTGAACAGCATATGATTATGCTCTTGAGGTGTATTAAGTCCGCTTTTCACCGGGCCAAAAATCCCGAAGAAAAAGATAAGAATCTTGTTCTTGCCTCATATATAATTGAATTCTTTGTGATAACAAATAGTTTGTTGCAGTATATATGGATATGTATATCTTATTAGCTCATCTCTTGTATACTGGTCTTATTCGTTTAAATTGGGTACTCAAGCAGGATTGTAAAAGGAATGCATATATGGAGGCAGAGTTGCAATGTTCAAATGCTATACAAAGCATGGAAAGGAAGCTGAGAGTAGCTTGCCATGCTAGTGATGCTAATACCATCTGGCTGCTATTTTTTTGGGTGCTTACATCAGATTCCAACTTAAGACCCATCCCTTGTACCTACCTATCCCAATGCCAGTTGAGCTAAAGATCTTAGGCATTATGTAAAAAATCAGTTATCAGAAATAGAACCCTATGGAAATCATTGAAAATGTTTAGGGATGAGGAAGAATCCTTATTTTGCAAATGTTTGCTTTTCTTTTCAATATATGTATCTATCAATGATGTGGTACTTGACTATTACACATTCTTTGCAGACTGCCAAATCGAAAGTAGATAGTTATGATGCTGAAATATCATCGATGAAGCTTGAAATCAAGGACTTTAAGTAAAAAATTAGAAAGGTGTAAAATACAAGAAAGGTTTAAAATCGCTGAAAAACAAGTCACAAGAGCGACTGATATTGCCGATATAAAGCATGAGCTCAAGCGGATGTTGCTCAAAAGGAAACGAGTGAGATGCAGAAGTTACTGGAAATGGAAAGATTGGCCCAAATTGAGAGGGCTGAGAGGCATATTGGAAGTTTGCCAAGAGAAAAAAGAAACTTAGATGATGAGTTAGAGAGAAAGAAAGAAATGAACAAACGAACAAATACATACATACCTTAACTGGTTCACATGAAATGAAAGAGGATCTCTAGGCTCTCTTCTATAACTTCTATGTTCAATCAATCAGGCATGTGGCTTCCACCCTACTTTCTTACTCTTCTTCTACCCCCCATGTGAACTTTTCAGAACGCACCCACTGGGTGGAGTGGGCTTTCTACTTTTAACTTTTGCTTTTGGAAGAAGCAGATTCAGACTTTCAGAACAACCAAAGGGTCGATTTGTCATCTGTCATGAATAGACCTCCACAACCTGTTCGTTGGGGACCAACATGAAGGTGGTCACTCTTCGGAGATTGTGGCTTTGGTTGATTGTTTTAATTGGGAAGGAACAAGTAATTTTTCTAGGGTAAGGACAAACAAAGCTACTCTGGGATAGAACTGGGAAAATAATATTAAACATGAATAGAGAAAGCTGCAACAAACTCACAAGGCTATCAAATCCAATATAGACAGGCTGTTCACCAGCTTCAAGCCACTCCGCAAGTGAATGGGGGGGTTCATAATTTGAAGCAAGGTCAAGAAAACAAAAAACAACAAGAAGTAAAACGTAGAGCATATCAGCAAATAATCAGCATACTATTGCTACCACATCAAATCATATTCCTGAGGCTTCTGCAATATTATCAGCATACTATTGCTAGAACAAGAAGAAGCCCATGTAATAAGATATGCTTAATAGTCCCAAACCACCATGAGGATTCTGAAATGACCATGTATGATACGTTTCCTTTGTATGATACGTCTTCTTTTGTATGATACGTTTCCATTATAGCCGCAAGGTTCGACTCTATAAATAGACATTATAAACGTACAGCCGCACGGCTATACTTTCTACTTACATTCGAATATTTTAACAGTACAGCCGTACGGCTATACTCTTCAAATATATTCGAACGAACACGAAGCTTGCACTCTCAGAGAACGGAACTTTCTCTCGCAGTCACTGCTTCGCCCGTCTAGCCACCGCCTAGCCTCCCGCCTAGGCCGACTTTTCGAACACTGCGATTGACTGAAAGTCTGAAACCAGAAATTGAAAAAACTTAGCTGCAAATTTGAGATTGGGAAGCCGAAGCAGTGAAGCACAAGTCAGGTCCATAGAAGAAGAGATCATGAAACTCTTAATTCATCTAATTCCATTCCTCTCCCTGTTTCGCGCCTCATATTCTTCTCTCTTCGCACTAACGACATGGCGCAGAAGAAAAAAATACAAAATTTTCTGACTTGGTATCTGTCTTCTGTGGAAGGAAATGATGAAGTTGTCCTATCATGGAGTTTCTATGGTCTTGCCAATAACAAGGTTCTGTGAATGGCATGCGTTAGGCTGTTTTTCCACTGGAAATTTCTTTTTGTTTTGTACTTTATGAATTTATTAGTCGCATTACAATCATTTTGATGTGCTAGATAAAGGAAGGACTGCAAAAGAGGAGGCATCCAAACGTGAGAAGGTCCGAGAAATACAGAAAAATCTATTATTAGTATCACACCTTTTATTTATTTTAATACATGCACAAATAGATATTATAACAGTACATCCGCACGGCTATACTCTATAAATACAATATATTAACAGTATAGCCGATCGGCTTTAAATACAATATTTTACCATTATAGCCGCAAGGCACGACTGTATAAATAGAAATTATAAACGTACAGCCGGACGGCTATACTTTCTAATTAGATTCGAATATTTTAAAGGTACAGCCGTTCGGCTATACTCTTTACATATTATTCTAACGAACACGAAGCTTGCACTCGCAGTGGACGGAACTTTCTCTCGCAGTCACTGCTTCGTCCTCCAGGTTCGGCGCCGAAAAAAGACCTAACCTGCCTAGGCGCCCGCCTAGCTACTACCAAGCCGCCTAGGGACCGCCTAGCCGCCTAGCCGCCTAGCGCCCGCCTAGCCACCGCCTAGCTGCCTAGCGACCGCCTAGCTACCGCCTAGCCGCCTAGATGCCCGCCTAGGCCGACTTTTCAAACACTGCGACTGACTGAAAGTCTGAAACCCGAAATTGAAAAAATTTAGCTGCAAATTTGAGCTTGAGATTGGGAAGCCGAAGGACTGAAGCGCAAGTGAGGTCCATAGAAGAAGAGATCATGTGACTCTTTCCCCTCCGTGTTTCGCGCCTTATATTCTTCTCTCTTCGCACTGACGACATGGCGCAGAAGAAAAAGATACAAAATTTGCTGATTTGGTGTCTGTCTTCTGTGGAAGGAAATGATGAAGTTGTCCTATCATGGAGTTTCTATGGCCTTGCCAATAACAAGGTTCTGTGAATGGCATGCGTTTAGCTTCTCTTGCTTTGCTTATTCTTTAATATGCAAATGGGATTTATGCTTGTACCTCACTGCCTGTGTTTTAGGTGGAGAATGTTAGTACAATTTTTGTTTGCCGCATTCCTCGTAATAGTGATTCACTATTTCAGAGCAGTCGAAATCCGTCTTTCTGCATTTTCGTAGTAGTAGAGAGAGAGAGAGAGAGTGAGAGAGAGAGAGAGAGAGCAATCTTGACCTTTTATTTTCAAGAATTTGGTTGCCAATTCATACATGTACTGTTAAACTGGCATTATCTGCTTTTAGGTTACGCTTGTTAGCTATTTATGACATTCTAGGCACATTGAGCACTGCTACTCTTGAATTATGTTATCTCTGTATACCGTATGTTCCATTCGAGCTCTATCTACAGAGAATTAACGAAATTCAGGTCAGTGACTCACTTGTTGTCTTTGATCTCTCTCTTGTAGGTCATGAATTCAAATCTGTTACTCTCTATATTGATATTTGTTTGTGTTGAACTTGAAGGCTAAGTTTTTCTAATGCAGTTGGTCAAATTAAGGTCTGAATTCAGATCCGGGCTAGACGCATTGACATGTTTGTTTTTGAAAGAACAAGGCCGAAGCAAGTTGGGGCAACTATGATGATGGGTCCCGCACCATATCCTCTTCATGGCAGGTTTATGTACTCCTTGAGCTCTCTTATTGGGTGGTATTTTGCAATGGGCTCTAAATTATTAGTTTTTATCCATGATTTTCCTTGTGTATAAAAGTTTAACAGAATCTTAGTTTCTAACCGGAAAAAAGTGGAAGTAGTGAATATGTAATAAACGATTGACCAACATACTGGAATATGTGTGCTATATAAATTTTTGTCTTGGTTAGCTTCTTTGTGCTGTTTCATTGAGGTTACATAAATAATTATGTTGCCCCGTGTCTTATCTGAAGAGAGTAGATGTTGAAGTGGATGTTCTGTTTTCATTTTAAACTACAACAACGGAGAATACAAAAATAAAATAACCCTTTTGGATCTCAGACTTCATACGGAATAGAGGGTGAATAAGAAACCGACTCTGGAACAACTCTGATTACAAATTTCTTAGGCATCATGTGATTGTGTTAATCTTACTCTGCAGAGTGTTGAAGAAGATGGGTATCTGAACAGCATATGATTATGCTCTTGAGGTGTATAAGCTGGAATGGGTGCAGGACCTACTCCTATGGCATGCACCCTCTGCCCCCAAAATGGCTGGTCCCCAAAGAATGGTACAATTGTGGTTGGACACTAAAAAGAACAGAGAATATGAGCCAAAAATGAGTAACTGGATCATTTACAAATGTAAGACTCCCCAAGAATATAGCATTATCGGTTACCGCAGCTTTCAGACCAGCAGCAGTTGTCCCAGCAACCCCATGATGCACCTAAGAAATTTTTTCAAATCCAGTGAGAAACCAGGAGTAGCCTAGTTATCCAATAGGGGAACAAAACAACAAAACAACAAAAAGGTGCATCAAGTTCATGTGACGTTCTGAACACCAGTGCAGTGAAATCCCAACCAAATTAAAAAGAATTAAAAGGGTTGGAATAGCCAATCATGGGGGCAATTGTCCACTAAATACACAGAATCACTTGGTTATGCCACTGAGAAGAGAAATATATGAAGGCTTTCAGATGTAAAGAAGCATAAGAATACAATGTGCTTGAAAGTAATCTTTTTTTAAGAATCAAGACTTACAATTACCAAGGCCACCCCAGCCTCGGTTGATGACGCCTCTCTGTCCAGTTATTTCCAGAGCTTGAAGAATAATATTGGTCATGTTCTCTGGTTCTTCAAGAGGCTAATACAATACAGATAAAAAAAATTTAGCAAGCAAGACAATTTAGCATTTCAATCAAATGCACAATCAAGTAACCTTAACTATGCAATTCAGAGGTATACTCTGCATGTATTAGACATGCCTCAGTCAAATTAGATATTGAACGACGAACAACCAAAGGGTCGATTTGTCATCTGTCATGAATAGACCTCCACAACCTGTTCGTTGGGGACCAACATGAAGGTGGTCACTCTTTGGAGATTGTGGCTTTGGTTGATTGTTTTAATTGGGAAGGAACAAGTAATTTTTCTAGGGTAAGGACAAACAAAGCTACTCTGGGAGAACTGGGAAAATAATATTAAACATGAATAGAGAAAGCTGCAACAAACTCACAAGGCTATCAAATCCAATATGGACAGGCTGTTCACCAGCTTCAAGCCACTCCGCAAGTGAATCTGGGGGTTCATAATTTGAAGCAAGGTCAAGAAAACAAAAAACATCAACATCAACCTTCGGTCCCCAATCTGCCAAACAAGTAAAACGTAGAGCATATCAGCAAATAATCAGCATACTGTATTCTCATTTGGTCAAGCTGGTCTATTTCTACCACATCAAGTCATATTCCTGAGGCTTCTCCAATATTAGCAACATACTATTGCTAGAACAAGAAGAAGCCATGTAATAAGATATGCTTAATAATCCAAAACCACCATGAGGATTCTGAAATGACCATGTATGGATAAGTTTCCTTTGTGTGTACGTCTTCTTTTGTATGATACGTTTCCATTATAGCCGTAATGCAGTTGGACAAATTTAGGTCTGAATTCAGATCCGGGCTAGACGCATTGACAAGGTTTGTTTTTGAAAGAACAAGGCCGAAGCAAGTTGGGGCAACTATGATGACTGGTCCCGCACCATATCCTCTTCATGGCAGGTTTATGTTCTCCTTGAGCTCTCTTATTGGGTGGTATTTTGCAACGGGCTCTAAATTATTAGTTTTTATCCATGATTTTCCTTGTGTATAAAAGTTTAACAGAATCTTAATTTCTAACCGGAAAAAGTTGGAAGTAGTGAATATGTAATAAACGATTGACCAACCAACTGGAATTAGATGTGTGCTATATAAATTTTTGTCTTGGTTAGCTTCTTTGTGCTGTTTCATTGAGGTTACATAAATAATATATGTTGCCCTGTGTCTTATCTGAAGAGAGTAGATGTTGAAGTGGATGTTCTGTTTTCATTTTAAACTACAACAACGGAGAATACAATAATAAAATAACCCTTTTGGATCTCAGGCTTCATACGGAATAGAGGGTGAATAAGAAATTGACTCTGGAACAACTCTGATTACAAATTTCTTAGGCATCATGTGATTTTGTTAATCTTACTCTGCAGAGTGTCGAAGAAGATGGGTGTTTGAACAGCATATGATTATGCTCTTGAGGTGTATTAAGTCTGCTTTTCACCGGGCCAAAAATCCCGAAGAAAAATATAAGAATCTTGTTCTTGCCTCATATATAATTGAATTCTTTGTGATAACAAATAGTTTGTTGCAGTATATATGGATGTGTATATCTGATTATCCACAAGCTCATAAGCATTATGTAAAAACTCAGTTATCGGACTATGGAAATCATTGAAAATGTTTTGGGATGAAGAAGAATCCTTATTTTGCAAATGTTTGCTTTTCTTTTCAATATATGTATCTATCAATGATGTGGTACTTGACTATTACACATTCTTTGCAGACTGCCAAATTGAAAGTAGATAGTTATGATGCTGAAATATCATCGATGAAGCTTGAAATCACGGACTTAAGTCACAAATTAGAAGCTGCGAATGCACAGGCCCACTCATTTGAGAGAGAAAAAAAAAGACTTGATCAAGTCCAAGAAAGGTGTAAAATCGCTGAAAAACGAGTCACAAGAGCGACTGATATTTGCCGAGATAAAGCACGAGCTCGAGCGGATGTTGCTCAAAAGGAAACTAGTGAGATGCAGAAGTTATTGGAAAATGGAAAGATTGGCCCAAATTGAGAGGGCTGGGAGGCATATTGGAAGTTTGCCAAGGGAAAAAAGAAAACTTAGATGATGAGTTAGAGAGAATTCGTGTATCAGAGATGGGGGCTCATTCGAAAGTTGCTCTTCTGGAGGCAAGAGTTGACGAAAGAGAGAAGGAAACAGAATCACTATTAAAATCAAATAATGAGCAGAGCAGAGAACTAGTCCAGTACTGTCGTCCTTCAAGGCCTTCTGGACAGTGAGCATGCAGCACATGCAGATGCAAACAATAGGGCAGACTCCCTGACTCTTCAGCTACAAGCTGCACAGGCAAAACTTGATTCACTCCAGCAAGAGTTGACTTCTGTTGAGCTGAATGAAACAGCAATGCATAGCAAGCTAAAGACTGCTTCCCACGGGGAAACGCTCAAGGGTAGATGACTATGAAATGGGCATGGTTCAAGACATGGAGATGAGTGACCGGATTGTAAGAGTAAATAAGAGGTCTAGAAGTACTACGAGCCCTCTACAAGCACGAGAAAAACTTTCCTGGCACAGGGATGCCAGGTAAGCAATCCAGCTAAGTATCCCAGTCCAATGATTTTTCAACAGCTGTCATCCATTAAAATTAAAAAAAAATAAATAAATTTGGTTGCCTCTGCTCCTCATACTATGTGAACCTAGCAACTCTACTTTTAACACTTAACCAAAAAACAAAAAACAAAAAAAATTTCTTCAGGCCAACATTCAAGCCCTTCTCGTCCCGGTGTCAAATTCGACACTGCCATCCTCCATCCTGTATGTCCCCATCCCCTCCTCCATCGTTGGTGTTATCTATCTCTTATCATTTCTGTCTCATCTCTCCCTCTCATTCTCTCTCTTCACGCCAACAACAGTGGCAGCGGCGGTGAGCTTGCCAAACTCCAAACTTGAGGTGACTGACATCAAATTTCGAGGCCAATCTCTCCCTCTCTATCTCTTCTTGGCGGCCTCCGATGTGGCTGACGCAAAGTGAGAGACAGATAGGGAGAGAGGAGAGTAAGTCAGAACAGAGAGAGATAGGGGGTTTGGGTTGCACTGTGGGAGAGGGAGAGGGGCTGCGCAAAAAGAGAGGGAAGGAGAGGGAGATATGAGAGAGGGGATTTCAGTTGCTGGGTTCGCATAGGATGAGGAGCAACCAAATTTTTTTTTCTTTTCCAATTTTAATGGGTGACAACTGTCTAGAGATAATTGGAAGGGGATACTTAGCTGGATTGCTTACGCTGGCATTCCCATGCCAGGAAAGTTTTTCTCCTAAAGCACACCCACACTCAATCAAAAGATGGTGGTTCAGTATAGCCGGGCGGCTATACTATTTTTTAAAAATAAAAAATAAAAAACCGAGTATATCCAATCGGCTATACTATTTTTTAATTAAAAAAAAGAGACCCCATCGATGAGTGCTCAAGTGTCAAAATACGTATAGCCGCACGACTATACTATTTTAAAAATTATAAAAACCGAGTATTGCTGCGTGGATATACTATTTATTAAAAAAAAAAAGACCCCCATCTGTAAATGTATGGATTTTGTAATTTTCTTTTGGCTTCCCTGACAACTTTGTAATAGGATTTTTATTGTTTTTTATCAAGCTCAAGTTTAGATTAAGAATAGCTTCTCTAGGTATCCTTAGCTAACAACTATCCTATGGAGGTTCAAGCATATTGACAGAGGTAAATTGTGCATTGCATAACATTGCATTAAACTGTTTCACAAAATGATGACTAGTCATCTGTTTCTCATATGACTAGTCATCCTTGCTCTGTAGGATTTCCAGCTGGATAACCAACTTTTTTTTTCATATTCTCCTTTCTCTCTCTACTGCCATGTGGCATTTTGACCTAAGGGAATTTTTGTGTGTATAGGCCAAAGAATTCCTCTTTTGGCAGCCATCTCTTTTGTGTGGAAATTTTGGAAAGTTTTGCTTGCCATCTTTCCCTTCCACTTCCTCAAGAGAGAACCATATTTTCATCTATGAGTTTTTCCAAATTGATTTATTTTTGAAATATGAATCTAAATCTAGCTACTTAAAACACTCTCTCATTTATATCTACGTCAGATTCATGATTGATTTCTTCAAGAGTATGGTTTCTTGAAGAAATTGGTCATTCTCCTTTGAATCCAAATTTTGGTTTCTGTCTGAGTTGGAGCTTGCAAGCTAGTGCCATGGGATGAAATAGCTGGAGAAGGAGCTGCCATTGCCATGAAGAACTGAGCTTCAAGTTTTGCTAAGTTGGACAAGAAGATTGCACAAAGGAGGTATAACTCATCTTCCTAAATAGATATAAGTTTTCTTGAGCTTGCTTGTGTTCCTTTGTAAGAATCTTTTTCTACTTAGTGGATTGTCTGGTCAGTTGATGACCCCCAGTTTTTCCCAATGGTGGGTTTCTAGGTGAACAATTTCTATTTTGCATCTCTGTAATTTTTCTAGGTTGGTGTTCTTGGTGGTTGACTAGTCATCTTTATCTGCTGTTTGGTGTTTGCTTGATTATGATGATTTCACACACTTTCACCATAGTTCTTGCAAGCACAGGGGATGCCTAAATTGACGGGTCTTTCTGAGTGCGTAGGTTGTCACTAGTAATCTTCTAGGGTTGCAGGTACTTTGTGGCATGCTCTGTGTGTATTCTTGATTGTAGTTGTTCATGACTAACAGTTGACTAGTCATAAGTGTTTTTGATCAAGGTCTAAAGTGTGTGAAGTTTGTTGCGTCTTGTTTGAGTCATAAATTTTACCCTTTGTCACCTAAGTACCAATTTCACCATCGATGAACTACCCACGTGTTTTAAAATACGTATAGCCATGGGGCTATACTATTTTCATAACAAAAACCATAAAAAATTGAGTATAGCCGCCAGACTATACTATTTATTTTTTTTAAAAACCAACCTATCGATTACCTGTCAAAATTCGTATAGTCGCGCGGCTATATTATTTTTATATTCAAAAAATAAGAAAAAAAACTTAATATCGCCCCGCGGCTATACTATTTATATATCTAAAAAGACTCGCCTTGTGATTAGGCTCTCACGTATCAAATTAAGTACAGTCGTGCAGCTATATGATTTTTTTTTAAATCATAAAAAAACATAGTAAAGCCACGCGGCTATAATATTTATATATCTAAAGAAAGGACTCGCCTTGCGATTAGGCTCCCACGTGTCAAATAACGTATAGCCACGCGGCTATACGATTTAAAAAAATAAAATCAGAAAAAATAGAGTAAAGCCGCGCGGCTATAATATTTATATATCTAAAGGAAGGATTTTTCTTGCGATTGGGCGGCCATGTGTCAAAATAAGTATCGCCTCTCGGCTATACTATTTTTTTAAAAAACATTTTAAAAAATTGAATATAGCCGCGGGCTATACGTTTTTTTTTATTTTAAAAAGGTGTCAAAATAAGTATCGATGCGCGGTTATACTATTTTTTAAAAAAAAAAACTAGTGGTTAAATACATTAGGTATAGCCGCACGGCTATATTAGTTAATAAAAAAAATTAAAAGAAAAGGACCGTCCTAGTTGCAATATTTTATACTTTATAGATATTAAAATGTAAGTTTCAACATATTCAAAGTAGATATTGAAGAGCTTTTAAGACGTGTACAGAACATGGATGTATTATTGAAAAATACATACGTACGTGTAGAATAGAGTATTAAACATAAAGTGTTAAATTCTTTATACAAGTAATAACTCCGTCAGAATAAAAAATAAAAAATGGACAATAGAGACTCGGGTAATAACTCTGCAACCTCTCTCACCAATGTCTTGCACCAAGGGGTAATATTGTGAGAGAGATGGCATAAGGGACTTGGTGACACTGCTCTCCATATTCTCTCTTTGCAGTGAGTTCTTGGTGTTGGTTTGTGAAGAACCAACCCAACAAAAGTCAGCTCGAATCTGTCCAAAAAAACAAAGGACACTACTTGCCTCCTTACCGGTAAGGAGATACTACTCTCTTCATGTGAATTGGGTTGACCAAAAATCAGATCGGACCGATTTAGTCTGGTTCTAGTTTCGGTTCTTGTAGTGAAAAAACCATACCTGCCCGAATGTGTATTTTTAATTTTTCTAATAAAATAGTTAAGCAAATGCTTAATTTCTAATGAATTGGGTGGAGATAATTCTGGACGAGCTAACTCACAATAAAGATATTGTTTCCCCAATATAGACAGGCTGTTCACCAGCTTCAAGCCACTCCGCAAGTGAATCTGGGGGTTCATAATTTGAAGCAAGGTCAAGAAAACAAAAAACAACAACATCAACCTTCAGTCCCCAATCTGCCAAACAAGTAAAACGTAGAGCATATCAGCAAATAATCAGCATACTGTATTCTCATTTGGTCAAGCTGGTCTATTTCTACCACATCAAATCATATTCCTGAGGCTTCTGCAATATTATCAGCATACTATTGCCAGAACAAGAAGAAGCCCATGTAATAAGATATGCTTAATTGTCCCAAACCACCATGAGGATTCTGAAATGACCATGTATGATACGTTTCCTTTGTATCGTCTTTGTATGATACGTTTCCATTATAGCCGAAAGGCTCGACTGTATAAATAGAAATTATAAACGTACAGCCGCACGGCTATACTTTCTAATCACATAGTACAGCCGAACGGCTATACTCTTTAAATGTATTCGAACGAACACGAAGCTTGCACTCGCAGAGAAGAGAACTTTCTCTCGCAGTCACTGCTTCGTCCTCCGGGTTCGGCACCCAAAAAGGAACCAACCCACCTACGCGCCCACCTAGCTTCTACCTAGCCGCCTAGCGCCCGCCTAGTCACCGCCTAGCGACCTAGCCACGCCTAGCCGCCTAGCAGCCTAGCCCGCCTAGCGCCTAGCCCCGCCTAGCCCGACTTTTCGAACACTGCGATTGACTGAAAGTCTGAAACCCGAAATTGAAAAACTTAGCAGCAAATTTGAGATTGGGAAGCCGAAGCAGTGAAGCACAAGTCAGGTCCATAGAAGAAGAGATCATGAGACTCTTAATTCATCTAATTCCATTCCTCTCCCTGTTTCGCGCCTCATATTCTTCTCTCTTCGCACTGACGACATGGCGCAGAAGAAAAAAATACAAAATTTGCTGACTTGGTGTCTGTCTTCTGTGGAAGGAAATGATGAAGTTGTCCTATCATGGAGTTTCTATGGTCTTGCCAATAACAAGGTTCTGTGAATGGCATGCGTTAGGCTACTTGAATTCAAATTGATTCTGAAGTTTAAACATTTCTGTGAATGGCATGCGTTTAGCTTCTCTTGCTTTGCTTATTCTTTAATATGCAAATGGCATTTATGCTTGTACCTCACTGCCTGTGTTTTAGGGGATAATGTTAGTACACATTTTGTTTGCCGCATTCCTCGTAATAGTGATTCACTATTTCAGAGTAGTCGAAATCCGTCTTTTGCCCTTCAGCTATCACTGTGTTGCTACTCATAACTGTATTAACTATATGAGTCATGACTTGCTGTTTAGTTAATTGGATATTCTTCCTTAACATATGCAGGTTTTTCTGTGTTGAAATGAGACTGAACATAGTGGAATAAATACAAATTTCATTTGAAAAATGAGGTCCAAGTGTTTGGAATTGCAGCAAGATTTCTTTTTGAAAGCTTAAATGTCAGGAAGCAAAGTGTTCCTGACGTATAAGCGAAGCGGCAATCAAGAACAGATCCTGTACAGGGACATGAGTGCCGTAATTCACTTTTTGTTGCTCCCGATGATACTTCTTTACACAAACCACCAGACTTGCAAGTTCATTTGATTGATAAGCGTTCATCAGAACATTACAACAGAAATTCTGCAGTGAGATTTTAGAAAGCTGGAACCTGTTCAAATTTTTTAGTTTGTTTCATAAAGATATATGTTGTATGTCAATCATCTTTATGTAGATAATTTAATAATCCATCCTTCCCTATTTTTCCTCTAATAATTTTGTTCTTGAAAAAATACTGAAAAGGAAAAGGGTTTCAAGGGATTACCAGATACCACCAGAATGTGCCCTATTCAACCGACCCTTGAAAGCGTATCTAGTTGAGATGAACATTTAGATTTGGTTCTTTAATTTAGGTTTTTATGAAGATCTTCTCTTAGTTGTCTTAGACCTATAATTTATTTTTAAGGTCATTGCTATATTCTGTCTCGCCTGCCTCTTTTTCTTGCAGGTATGCCATGTATGTTTTGTGTGCTGTGTTGGGGGTAACCTGAAGCACTGTGGAAAATGCCTTCAGTCCTATAATCTCCAATGCCTAGATAAGCCCCATAAGGAAAAGAAACACATTGAAGTATCTGGCACAGGACAAATACCAATTAAAACCGTTCCGACAAGTCTTGATGAGGTTCCTTCCCAAAGGGATGCATATGAGAATAAGCCTAGTGGCAAGAAAGTAGGCTCATCTTCAAATGCTAATGCTGGAGCATTGGTTGATGATAATAATGTTGGAGGGAGGTTAGTTTCTCAATTGGTGATGAATTCCGCTATAATTACTGCTGATTTTGTAAGACAAAAATCATCAGCAGCAGCAGCAGTATTTGATAGAAAAATCAGCACTGAATGTGATGGTAGCTCGCCAAGATTGAATACATCAAACTTAGAAGACACTGATTCATTCTCTAGAAATAAGTTAGATAAATTAGGTGGTGATTCAGCTTGTGCGGAACAAGTTGACCACCCCATTGATTACTTTCTGCCAAAGGAATAAAAGAAAAAAGGATATGGATGAGTCTAATATGCAAAGGAAATCACTGCCCGTGGAAAATAGCTGCTCATTGATAACCAAATTGAATAATTCTGTTTGTACTAATACCAGTTCTTATGAAGAAACTTCCCCTGAAAACTGCTCACTCAGTAGATCATGAAGCAGATTTGAAGCACTCCAGAGAGGTATGTAATATGAAGCCTATCTTTTGTCAATTTGGAAATAATGTATCTGCCTATGAGCACAAACACAATCATGTGAAATGAGAAATAGAAAATAAGATGCGACATGGAAAATACATTCTCATTTACATGTATTCTATAATAATACATATGTACAAAAACAAGGTCAGAATAAAAGGTGCATCATTGTTAGTGCTTAGTTGCCCTCAAGTGGCTGACTGACTCCACTATTATGTGCATTCTTAACCTGATACTTCATTTCTGTACATGTAATTTGTAATCACCGATCTAATTTCTTTGTTACGGATCATTGATTTTACATATGCTCGTGCTGGATCTGCTGCCGCTGGAACTAAAATGTAGGTTCACATTAACTTCAGAACTTATTGGTTTCTTATATTTTAATTGCTTACTTCATTCATCGGGACAGTTTGATGCATGAAGAAGAACAACTTCATGATGACAAAAAGACAGGCAGTGACGCCTTACAACAGGCTGGAGAAGTACTTGGCCAGTGTGCTCAAAGTGCAATGGATGTTGAAGTTCTTTGCATGGATCATTTAAGAAAAAGTAGTGATACTAGAGACTCCACTTCTGAAGCTGCAACTCTATGTAAACCAGGGAAAAACCCATGCATTGATAAGAGATGAAGCTCAAGTTTTATCAAGTGCTGATCCTAAAGCAACAGAAACCCCTCATTTAGGCAGATCACTTCCTTATTTGGACTTGTCTGTTATCCCCACTGGTAGAACTTCATTAATTTCTAGGAATGCATTTGAACCAGTAACATTATCAATTCACATTGTGTTTAACTTACAATACTTTATCTAAAAGAATTCTTACTAGCAGATTCATGTGGCACTGTGGAATGCAATGTTGACTTAAACTTGAGCTCTCAGAAGCAACCTGACCTGGCTGCGCCAAAAACTATGTGGGACTCCTTGGATTCTACTAGCAGAAATAATGCCACTGTATTGCATGAACTGTCTCCTCCAGAAATGTCCGCTGTGTGAATTGAAAGAGTAGAAACTCATGCATCATGGTTACACAAAGATGCATTTGAATGTTTAGAAGTTGGTGACAGCTGCAAAGATGATGATAAAGTTAGTCCTCTATTTTCCAAGGAAATTACACCAAAAAAACAGTGTATGCAGGTGAGATTTGCAAGTCTTGTTGTTTGAAGTTTTGGGGATGATTTGGCTGTCAACTAATCTTATTTTACTTTTCATGTTTGGAATATTGATTCCAGCTATTTTCAGAAGAAAAAACCAGTGACATTTTTCGCTCAGTGACAACACAGCCTGTGGCGGCGGCTTCTATAGCTTCAGGACAAAGAAGAAATTCTTCAGTTGGGAGGCAAAAATAATCAACCAGAACAATAATCTCCTCTGTTACTAGTCTATCCTTATCAGAAAACCCTTTAACTGCAGGATGTGCAACCAATACCTGCTTCAGCGCATTTCCCTTCTAGAACTCTGTCATTGAAACCAGAGAATTTATCCGAGATGCAGCACTCCAATCTTCCTCGAGCCATTTATCGTCAGTATTTGAGACACAAGCTTGTGCATGATAGTATTGCAAGCCGAGCAAGAGCTTTCAATGAAAGGAGTAGTTTTCTTGACAAAATATAAGCCATATAGTACCATGTGGTCTGAAGAGGAGTTGGATTTTCTTTGGATAGTTGTGAGGAGACATGGAAGGGACAATTGGGATGCTATGTTAAGGGATCCAAGATTGCACTTCTCATCATGGAGGGTGGAAGGGACTTAGCTGAGCGGTGGGAAGAGGAACAGTCAAAACTTTTGAGTGGCATATGCGTTCCTCAATTCAAGTACTCGATAGCACAAGGCAGTTCTTTGGACTACCACTACTTTTTGGGTCCAAAAACAGGAATCTGGAAATAAAATACAGCATATGAACCCGGACTTTCATTTGGCAATGTTGACGCGTGTAGAGGAGGTAATGCCTGGAGGAGGCCATTATTCCAGCCGGCTTATGTTTGCAATAATGGCAATGAACACCTCCAGAGGCCTATTAGGTGCACAGAGGACATCTCATTTTGGTTTCCGAAGGGAGAAGTATGATGAGGATGAATTTAGTATTTTAAGTAGAAGTAGGAGTATGGCAAAGGGCAATTTACTATCAACTAATGGCCCCACAACTTGCGTTGGAGCAAAGGGAAACTTGCCCCACTGGCTCAGAGAATGCTTTCCTCTGTATGATCTTTCATGGTTTCACTGGTAGAGTGCATGAATGTTGTTTCATCCTTGAATGACTGAGGCTCTTGGAACTTTTCTAGGCATCTTTGAGTGTTCCTCAATCCTTCCAACTCTGTTGATACCTCTTTCATACTAGACCTCTTTTTCCCATTCAACCTCAAACACCTTGTTGCAAGCTCAGCATTGCTCCAACATGCTCCATCTCTGCATCTCGAACCACTTGAGGATCCAAAATCTGAACAAGTTGGTTTTCCCTTGTCAGTGAAATGAAAGAAGCAACCAGATTTTCCCCGTCATCTTTAGCAAAAGAAAATGGGGTTTTCCCAGTTAATATTTCTACGAGTGACTCCAAAGCTGTAGGTGTCACTTTTATCTGTAAATTTACTTCATCGGAAGTACTTTAAATACATGTATCCAAAAGTTCCTTGTACTTCTGTGGTTAAGTGAGTTTTGTCAAGGGGAACTGATTTTGAAGTCCCAAAGTTGGATACTTTAGCACTGTAGTTATGGTCTCGAAGAATGTTACAAGACTTGAAGATGGGGGATTGAAGCTATATGATACTGCTCCGGCAACTTCACAGGCGATCCTGAAGCAATGTTCCCATGAAAGTGATGGTGTTTCAATGTGCTTCTGCTGGATACGGCTATGCTGTATAAATATAAATTTTAAACGCATCACCACGCTGCTATACTTTTATAAATAGAAATTTTAACGGTAGAGCCGCGCGGCTATACTCTATAAATAGAAAATTTTCCCGTAAAGCCGGTCGGCTATACTCCATAATAGAAATTATAACTGTATAGCCGCTCGGCTATACTGTATAAATAGATTTTTTTTTCCAGTAAAGTCGAACGGCTATACTCTCTAAATACAATATATTAATAGTACAGCCACTAGGCTGTATAAATAGGAATTTTAAATGTATAGCCGCGCGGCTATACGGTATAAATAGAAATATTACAGTACTCCATAAATAGAAATTATAATGGTATAGCCGCCCGACTATACCTGTTAAATACAATATTTTAATAGTGTAGCAACGCGGCTGTATGCTCTAAATATTTTAAAAGTATATCCGTACTGTTATACTCATTAATATAAAATTATTTTCTTTACATTTTTCTTTGGCCAGCTTCTGTTATTTAATATATGTAATTAAGTAATATCTTAGCCTTTTTTAATTACTTTAATTATGGTTTCTTTGGTGAAAAAATAGAATATTTTAAAGGATAGCCGCACGGCTAGACCCCATAAATAGAAATTATAGACGTATTGCCACTCGGCCGTACTATCTATATACAATATATAGCCGGTCGGCTATACTGTATACATAGAAATTTTAAAAGTATAGCTGCAAGGCTAGACTCTATAAATAGAAATTTAAATAGTAGAGTCGCACAGTTATAAGCTATAAATAGAAAATATAAATGTCACGACCCGATCCGATAATAAAGAATATTCTCGAATCAGGGTGCATGAATTGAAAGAAATAAATAAAAAGACTGAAAAATTGGTTAAAATACGTTACCATTATATTTATAAATAAAATTATAATAATAATCTTACAAGTGTACAAGATATAAATAAAAGTTTATCACTCAAAACTAATCCAACTTCTCTGGTTTCGGCTTTGTCTTACCTACTAATTGATTTGAAAAACAAAATAGGTGAGGGATAAGCGAACCACCACTCAGTGAGTAGATTATGTACTATGTCAGTCAAACAATGTCATTTTACACTCTCTAGAAAAATATAATAAAAAGATACACAATCCAAATCATATCACATCATTACTTCATATCTTGGTTATCCTTCACAAATTGTACTCAGTACGTGACCCCTATTGGCCTCACTGTCCTATGTCCCCGTCTGGTACATTTATCCGTCGGATACCCCGTCACTGAAGTTCTCTTGTTCCATAAATAATACATACTTCACAAAAACTCCAAACAATACATATTGTATGAAATATTGCACAAATTAGACATGCTTGACTTGAAAATGGAGAGAAGTTTGCAAATAGATTTTCACATTTATCACAAAATACGAACTTTTAGAACATATTACATAACCCACTCACCATGATAAGTATGAAATATTGCAAGACAAACACACACGCTCTTCATCTTGTTTCTTTTTCTTCTTCTCTCTCTCTCTCTCTCTCTCTCTCTCTCTCTAACACTACTTCATGGTAGAAATCTACCTTAAAGGATTGGAATGAATGATTGAAGTAAGGAAGCATGATACTTATAGGAGAGGCTATGGATGCATCTAAATAATATTTATATATACAATATTTTAAACCATCAAAAGATAAGATAGAAGTAAGGAAATAATATGACTCATCCCCCTTTGGATAATGATATCACAACACCACCACCAAAAGATAAGATAGAAAGATAAGGAAATAATGTGAGTCATCCACCTTTGGCCAATAATATCACAACACCACTTGTTACTAGCATGTAAGGTGGCATGGCAATGATGATTTGATTAAAACCAATTCTAAGTCTCTACACGTGGAAAACAAGAATGGTGTCATCTTTCAACTAAAAGGATAATATCATACTAGGCTTAAGATTTAATAATATATAAGTCCTCACAAAAAATATTTAACTAAGAAAATTCATATTAATAAATAATTAATATGTAGTATGAATAATATATATATATATCTTTACATTTTCTCACATTACAAGTCTACCCGTTCGGCTATACTCCGTAAATAGAACTTAAGGGGTATATTTATTTGTTTTTTTTGACCTTGGTATAGCCGACTGGCTGTACTATTTTTTTTAAAAATTGAATTTAAAAAAAAAAGGAACCGCCTAATAGCACTTATTCGGAAGATTTTTATTTTTTATTTTTAAATTTTTTAAAAGAATATAGCCATGCGGCTATACAAAGGGTCTTCATTTCACTTTACACCCTAAAATTGAAATTTTCTCACTTAAACTTCTGGAACTAAAAAGTTATGCCACTATATAATATTTTAATATAATTTTATGTGTATAATACTTGAATTTCGTATATATTATTGAAAATTTTGTAAAAAAATACGTGTATTACACATGAAAAATATGTACATACGTGTATTGTACTAAGTCTTTAAGACGTAAATACGTACATATATGTATAATACAAGTGTTAAACAAGAAAATGCTAAATTCTTTATAAGGGTAATAACTCTCGAAAAGTTAAAAATCAAAAGGAGACAATAGAGACTTCGATAATGGCCAAATAGTAATGAATAATGCTCTAAACTACTCTTATCAATAAAAGAAATCAGGAAAAGATTTTGTTTTTTTAAAAAGGATCCCATTGTTGTAAATGCATGAGTTGGTGAATGACCACCATACCTCTTAGCATTCACCCTTTCTAATTTTATGTAACCTACACAAAGCTACTCTGGGATAGAACTGGGAAAATAATATTAAACATGAATAGAGAAAGCTGCAACAAACTCACAAGGCTATCAAATCCAATATGGACAGGCTGTTCACCAGCTTCAAGCCACTCCGCAAGTGAATCTGGGGGTTCATAATTTGAAGCAAGGTCAAGAAAACAAAAAACATCAACATCAACCTTCGGTCCCCAATCTGCCAAACAAGTAAACGTAGAGCATATCAGCAAATAATCAGCATACTGTATTCTCACTTTGGTCAAGCTGGTCTATTTCTACCACATCAAGTCATATTCCTGAGGCTCTTCCTCAAAAAAAAAAAAAAAAAAAAAAAAAAAAAAAAAAAAAAAAAAAAAAAAAAAAAAAAAAAAAAAAAAAAAAAAAAAAAAA